AATAGAACTTGCGTTGGGATTTTTTCTTGTAATTTTTTCACGTGATCATTTGAGAATTCCTTGCAAAAAAATATAAGTAATAAAAGTCAATTTGAAAATTTTAGATGCATGAATGGTCTTTGTTTTTCGTAGATAATTAAGAATCCCAAAGTAGAAAGTAACCACTAATCACCACATGGATTTCCTAGAATTTACTAGGAAAACTCAGAGGAAAACTAGCACTCTGACCATCTTTGTTCTCTACATCTAATTTGAATTTTTTTTTCTTTTTGGATCATCAGATATAGAAGCAACGCAGTTATTGCCTCACTGGAGTTTATTTCCTCTAATAAAGCTGCTTGGACTTCGAAGGTAGGGGCTTGTTTACTTTGACCCGTGCCCTTATTTGTCTGTTGCAAACTTGCAATCAGCCACCGCAGCTTAGTTTGGATTTTTTTTTTATTTAATTTGAATCAAATTTAGATATTAAATATGTAAATTAAATTTAAATTAAATTTTAGATTAAAATATAAAAAATAAAAAAATGCGGATCAGAATTATATTTTTTAAAAAATTTTAAATTTTTAAAATTTTTATAAAATAAAAATAATAATTTTATTTTAAAATCTATTTAAATAAATTAAAATTTTATGTTAAAATAATATATAAAAATAAAAAATTTAATTTTAAAAACCTATAAATTGAATTAAATTGATAATTTTAATTTGATTTAAATTTAAATCAATTTTAAGATTTTATAATGTTTTAAACTATCAAAAAAAATCAAAACGAATGGAATCCGATTCTAATAATTTTTCACCTCTAATCGCAGCCACTAGTGCCACCATATTGGTCCTGAGTTGGGCTGAAAGTGTTTTAAAAAGCTAACTTAGTAAGGATCCAAGTGAACCTTGGGTTTGATTAAATGCATAGCTGCAGCCTCCTTACTCTACCATTCGGAGGCTCGGACATAGCTCTGACGGGCCGATAGTTTGTGTTTGGGCTGTAGAACTAAACTTCATGCACAAGCCTTAGTGTTTTTTTTAATTTTGGGAAAAAAAAAAGAAGCGTTTGTTACAACATTAAAGATTCAAGGAGATCAAATCCGAATAAAGTAATTAAGAGTTAGGTGTTTGAACTCAATAGAACAACCAAAGTCCAACGAAACACAACCAAGCATAATGAACTTTAATAAGTAAATGTTGAAATATAATTTAATTACACGTGCAGGCAAACCTGTCATAGTTAAGCCAATCACGTGTCACATCCAAACCCCCAGGCCTACCTGATGAGAAGATCGATAAGAGTTGGTACTTTTTTTAAGTCAAGTAGAGCAAAATCCGTAACGTTCTCATTCCATATAACAAAAAAATGATCGAGAGATTGGGATCATAATTTTTGTTTATTTTATTACAAACTGATTTACAATAATCCATAAAATTATTGTTTATTAATAGATTCTCAAATTAATAATTTAATATTAAAATATTTATAAAAATTTTGACATGAATATTTGTTGGAATTTAATAAAAACATCATACGCTTATCTCTTATTTTATAATATATTAATGTTATTAAACCAACTCCTGCAACCGTATCTTGTTTCCTTCTGCTAATCATTAAATATTGCTTACCATAAATGCCCAATTAAATAAGGTCTAACTGTCGACTGTTTTAGCGTTATAAATAGTTAATGCCTTGATAGTTATGGTTTTGGACTTTGCTTTTTGGATATATTTTGAGGTATATGTTTTTTTTGCATTTTTAAAATATTCAAAAATATAATTCAAAATTCAACTATAAAGTTTGACACTTCAAACTACTAGTAATATTATATTCTTACTATATAATTCAAAGATTAAAAAAAAGGAAAATGAACGAACCGTCCAAACACAGTTACACATCATAAATGCAATCAAAGTTGGCCATAAATGAACTGGTAGGCTTAAATTTAACATAATTACCAAAAAAAGGAAAAAAAAATTTAACACACATTGAATGTCACTGTAACCTTATTTCAACAGCAAATGAATTCCACGCAGAAACACCTTCGCTTTTTGGTTGATCAATTTAAGAACTTCTGGTTTTTTTTTTCCCCTTTAAATGTAAAGCAATTAAGTAAAATAAAATTGCAATGCTGACATGAACATTTTCTATAAATCAATATATTGGTAGAAATTATGATATTAATAGGGCTTTCTTGTAGAGTGCTTTCAGGTGTTCTTTAAAGTTAATTAATATATATTATAATTAGATTATGATTCATGTAGGAAATAATTTTATTTATTTAATATGGATATGATGAATTAAATAATAAATGAAGTATTAATATACTTTTACTTTTGTAATCTTTACCAATTTGCTGTTTAAAGTAAGAGAAATATTAGGAGATATGTAAAAATAAATTAATTAATTAAAAATATATTATTTTTCATTATTTTTCATAATAATAAAACTGTAATAATAAAAAAATATGTCTTAAAAAAATTTGTAAACAAAAAAATAAATTACAATAATAATAGAATACACATTGAAAAAAGTTGCAAACCGAAAAAATAAAAAATTAATATAATACATTGCATTTATAATCTTACATTTGTAGAAAAACTATTAATGGCAATTAAGACTCCTATTGTTTCACATAAATTAACTTTCAAAAAATATTTTTTGAAAACTATTTATATTTTTTGAAAAAGTAATAATTTTTTATTGTTTGATTATTTTTTGAAAAAGCTGTTTCATTTTTCAAATAATATTAATATAATTATTAAAATATTAAATTTTATTTATTATTAAAATATATTAAAATAATTTATTATTAAAATTATAAATATTCAATAATTATTATTTTTAATAATAATATTTAATATAAAAACATTATATTAATATAAAAAACTTAAAATAAAATTATTTATTATTCTTTGCATTAATATTTTAAATATTTAAAATAGTATTATTATTCTTAAAATATATTAATATTAAAATAGTGATATTTATTATTAAAATATTTATAGTAATTAAAATATCTATATTTCATATTGAAAGTATCTATTATTAAATCATAATAAAAATCTTTTTTATTTATATTTATTATTAAAATAGTAATAAAAATTCCAAAATAAATAAAATATAAAATTATATATTTTAAACTATAAAATAATAATAAATTATTAAAAATATTCATATTAAGAAAATCATATTATGATATTATATAACTTTAATTATTAAAATAATAAAAATATTATTATGTATGTTATTATTTATAATTAAAAGAATAATAGAACACTATTTATTGTTGAAATATTAAAAATATTTATGTTTAATAATATACAAAATAAAAATATTTAAAATTGAAATATCAAATGACTTTTAATATTAATATTTTTAAATTTTTAATTAAACTTAAATAAAATATTTTTATTAATATAATAATATTTCAACTCGAATCAAGAGTTTAAAATATTACTTGAGTATAACTATAAAAATATTTAAAGTTAAAATATTAAAATATTTTTAATATTAATATTTTAAAATTTTTAAGTAAAATTAAATAAAATTTTTATTTATTAATATAATAATATTTTGAGTCAGATGAAATTAACTTTGAGCTTAAAAAATCATGTACAATGTCTAACTTGAATAAAATTATGTTAAAACATATTGATAAATAGTTGTACTTGTAAATAACTTTTTTCATAAAATTATCTTTATATTTTGAAAAAATGATAACAATTTTTAGAAGAAATATCTCATTTTTATTAACTAGCAAGTTATTTTTCATTAATCAATCAATTTTTTACTAAACAAATACTTAAAAAAATGAAAATTTTATTTTTTAAAAATCATTTTCGTGAAACAAATAAAATTTAAGATTGAATAGATAAATTTCAAATTAAACTTTTTTAAATTTAAAAGGGATTTAATAAGTGATAAAGATTAAATAAAAAATTTTGCATATATTTAAAATATAAATTTGATAATTAATGTTGAGATTAATTTTTAATGTCTTATGTAAATTTTCAAAAAGACAACTTTTTATTAATTAAAATAAAGATAAAAAAGATTGTTAAAAAATTTAGATAAATTTAATTTTTGTAAATTTTAAAAGATTTTGATAATTAAATAAATTCTTAAATCAGTTTATTTGATAAATAACGAAAATGATTTATTATGAAAATAAAATTTATATTTTTAATTTTTAATTAAAAAAAATATCTAGATTGATTTAATTTTTAATTATGATTTAAATAAATTTACTATTTAAAAAATTTATAATTATCTAATTTGTAATTAAAAATAGTTATCATACTATTTTAAAAGTTATTATACTCTCTTTTAAACAAATTGTCTACACATGATAAATCTTATCAAGTATCTATATGTTTTAATATAATATATAATAATAAATTTTTTTAAATACAATAACTTAGAATTTTATTCATAATTTTTAATGTAATAACTAAAGATACTATTTTATATAATAATTTTTAAAAATGAAAGCATTCGTTAATAATTTTTTAATAATATATTAAAAAATATCTTTAAATTTTACATGGACTTAATTTTCGTCATTCTTACTAAAATCATTTTACTCATTGATAAAATAATACGAAGTTCGGTTTCAAGCCACTCCATTCCCCACCCTTTATATTAAAAAAAAAAATCAATTAATTATCGATGGTATTGAAACCAATTTTAAAATTTGAAGCTGAAAATTTTAAATTCAATTTTAAAGTTTAAAAAAAAAAATTTGATAAAACGAGAATGCGGCAATTGACCCGATTTCTCAGTTAAGTTGCCTAGTATTGACGTCGGCCCAGATCACTCCGCAGACTACGCACCAATCGTGCCTAAGTTAAGGTCACAAGTGACAAACCTACTCCACTCTGACCACCATCCTCAACCGTCCGATCAAGAGTCAAAAATAAACTGTAAGGTCACTTACGTAAATTCAACTAATTTTTTTCATTCCTTTCCATCCCCGTGAACTATTGCAACCTGCACTCGTCACGTGGCTTTTGTGGCCTGTTCCACAAAGGCATATCGTACGTGGAAATAGCAAAAACTTATTACTAATTAGACTTAACCTGCCCCCTCAAACTTCCCTTACGTCACCACCAGTCACATAAAGGCTGGCCCCGCCATTAAATCTGCACCGCCCATCAAACCGGAAACAATGTCGACTAGGCTGAACATTTTGCTAATCATCTTTAAACGCGGGTGATTAAAAGGTCTATTACCGTTGATGAAGCTCACCTGTACCTTTAATATCACCAAATCCCTTTCACGAGTCAACTTAACGAAGAAAAATGAAAATTAAAAAAATCCTTTACTGTTTTTGTTGCAAACACGTACCAGCACAGACTGAAAATAGACACTCACTTTCTCTCTCTCCAAAAAGCAAGAAAAAAAGATAGGGAGAATGTGAAAATGAGGGTCTAGCGAAAGAAAGGAAAAGCAAAGCAAAGAGGAAGCAAAACGAAGCTTAAACTAAGCTAAAGATGCTGAGATTTGCTCTTTTATGGCTTCTCGTTTTCCTTTTATCTCTTTACTCATCTTCAGCTCGGCCTGGTTAGCTTCCACTACTGGATTTTTTTTTTATAATTTGTGATTTAAGTTTGTTGTTTGGATTTTTTTTGGTTGCTTGGAGATTCGGTTAGGCATATTTGAATTGTAGATTACTTGCATTTTGATTGAGCTTCTTATAAACGAGTCTTATTTTTATAATTCAGTTTACGGTTCTTTTTTAACTTTGGTGATCTAGTCGATTAGCTGGTTTTTGAATTTTGAATTTCATGTTTCGCATTTACGTTAATTAGTTGCGAGATTGAGTAAAAAGTAACGCAAATGAATGTGTTTTTTGTGGAAATTTTTAAGTTAATAGTGTCTGGATGAAAGTATGGAGGTGGTTCATCGGTTTGGATCCTATTTGGATGCGAGAAAATGTAGGAAAATGATCGAAAGCAAAACTTTAATTGTACTTTTTTTTTGGGTATATTTTGTATGACATGTGATTGGAAGTAATAAAGGAAATAAGCTACACATTAATTAAAGAAAAAAAAATGTAAGAAGAAGCAAAGGAAAAAAAAGTAGAACAACTCTTGGAAAGCCAAACAGGGGAACGGTATAAATAATTTCTGGATTGGTGGTGGATTCTGTAGGTTCGCTTGTCTGCCCCATGCTGCTGCGAGTTATTGCCGTTTACAGAATGTTAAGTTGGTAAAATGAAAGTGTATCTGCAATGGAACTTTGTCTTGTGAAATAGGGAAACAGAGAAGAGTAATGTGGAGAATTTAAGTGGACTAGCATATTATATGTGCTTTGCCTATTTGGCATCAATGAATTGTAGCTTACAGTTTACGGATAAGAGTAACTGCTTTTCATGTTTTTATCTAATAATTCCTTTTTATCTGGTTAGTTTTTGGTGCTAAACTAAGTCATGGTTTCTTACTACAGCACCTTTTACTATGCGAATAAGCTGCTTTTCATCTGCTTTTCATGTCATATTTTGTATGACATGTGACTGGAAGTAATAAAGGAATTAAGCTACACATTAATTAAAAAAAAAAAAGAAGCAAAGGAGAAAAAAGTAGAACAACTCTTGGATAGCCAAACAGGGGAACGGTATAAATAATTTCTGGATTGGTGGTGGATTCTGTAGGTATGCTTGTCTGCCCCATGCTGCTGCGAGTCATTGCTGTTTACAGAATGTTAAGTTTGTCAAATGAAAGTGTATCTGCAATGGAACTTTGTCTTGTGAAATAAGGAAACAGAGAAGAGTTATGTGGAGAATTTAAGTGGACTAGCATATTATATGTGCTTTGCCTATTTTGCATCAATGAATTGTGGCTTACAGTTTGTGGATAAGAGAGTATCTGCTTTTCATGTTTTTATCTAATAATTCCTTCTTATCTGGATAGTTTTTGGTGCTAAACTTAGTCATGTTTTCTTACTACAGCACCTTTTGCCATGCGAATAAGCTGTGGGGCTCGTCAAAATGTCCAAACCGCACCAACCTATACACGGTGGTATAAAGATTTTGCATACACGGGGGGAATTCCAGCTAATGCAACACTTCCACGTTCCATTACTCCTCCACTAAAAACACTTCGCTATTTCCCTCTATCCGAAGGTCCAGAAAATTGCTACAGTATTAATAGAGTACCAAAGGGACACTATTCTGTGAGGATCTTCTTTGGATTAGTCACAGAGCCTGAGTTTGACAATGAACCTCTATTTGACGTATCTGTTGAAGGCACCTTAATTCATTCTTTGAAATCAGGTTGGACTGGCCATGATAACCAGGTGTTTGCTGAAGCCCTTGTGTTTCTTTTAGATGGCACAGTATCTATTTGCTTCCATAGTACTGGTCATGGAGATCCAGCAATTATTTCTATTGAAATTCTTCAAGTTGATGAGAAAGCATACTATTTTGGTCCAGAGTGGGGTAAAGGTGTAATCCTGAAAACAACTTCAAGACTGACTTGTGGCACATCAAGGCCAAGATTTGATGAAGATTATAGTGGGGATCATTGGGGTGGAGATAGATTTTGGAACCCAATCAGAACTTTTGGCCAAAATGCTGATAAACCGATATCTACTGAAAGTAGCATTAAACAAGCTTCAAATGCACCAAACTTCTATCCAGAAGCTCTTTACCAAAGTGCACTTGTTAGTACTGACAGTCAGCCAGATTTAGCTTATACAATGGATGTGGATCCCAATAAGAACTACTCGATATGGTTACACTTTGCAGAGATAGATGCTTCAGTCACTGGTGCAGGGCAAAGGGTATTCGATGTCTTGATAAATGGTGACACTATATTTCAAGACATAGATATTGTGGACATGAGTGGTGACCGCTATACTGCACTTGTGCTTAACACAACTGTTGCCCTTAGTGGGAGGACTCTGACAATTACTCTTCGTCCTCAAAAAGGCAATCATGCTATCCTTAACGCTATTGAAGTCTTTCAAGTTATAGCTGCTGAGTCCAAAACTTCAACTGAAGAAGGTAATACTTTCTTATATTACTAGTATACTTTTGCTTCTATTGCTTCAGCAGACTATTTATGCTGTTTATGATAGGACCCAATATTGGAAATTCTTTAATACTGCTGATGAGCATGGTTCTTTCTGGAAGGTGGTAGGCATTTACTAACTTGTTAATAATTCCTGATTCCAGTTAGGGCTTTACAGGCTTTAAAGAAAGCAATGGGGCTTCCTAAGCGTTTTGGCTGGAATGGGGACCCATGTGTTCCGAAGGAGCATCCATGGGGTGGAGCAGATTGTCATTTTGATAAATCTGGCAGCAAGTGGTTCATTGATGGCCTGTACTTTCTTGATTTTTTGCCTTATCTTTGAGCTTTATTATTGTTTTCTGCTGATATTATCTCATCTTTTCAGTTTGCTTCTGTTGATTTTAAGATTTGTGTTTAGGAAACTGATGTTTATGCTATGGCCTCTTCCATTGTTTTTGATATGCTAAAGCCTCCATTCATATTTAATTTCCTGTAAAACAATGAAAAAAAGAGAATTCTAACATAGATAATAACGTTACCAGTGAGCATGAAATTTTCCACTTTAAGGAAGCTGTTAACCATAAATTGCTTTCAGCTTTCTACTATCATGCAGTAGAGTTTGCATTCTTAAGTTTTAACCAATATCATTCTAGCTTGTTGGTGTCATGTTAAATAAATACTGTGAACATGTGTGCTATACTAAACACAGACACGTACATTCCAACCACCTGTGTAGACTTCTATTACCTAATTACTCAACCACTTCCTTTATTCCCATTTTCTAGTGAATGAATCTTATCCATTAAGAATACTCAGAGTTTCCTAAATGTTTTCCCATCTCTTGCATTCGTGTTTGTTAACACCCCTTCTTGTAAGATATGAGAAGAAAGTATAAGGCGAAGCTGGTTCTGTTGATCTCCTTTCCTTACTTTACTCTTTCATTTTGTTTTGCCTATCCCATTCAGCCTGAATTTCTGAACTTTATTCATTCCTGCATCATTTGTAACTCCTGAAGTTCTAAATGCTATGGATGCATGAATAACTATATTGCACCAGTAAGTTTTTGGGATGGGAACCACATTATTTTTATTTAAAGTTTGCTGGCCATGTATGGGTGCACATGAATACATATAGCAAGCATTTCCTACAATATAAATGTTTTAAATTTTTAATTGCAAACCTTATCATGTAAAGCTTATGATACAGTGTCTTCATTAGTTATATTGGTATATTATAAGTAATTGCCTTTTGATTTGTGCATGATCAGTGGTCTTGACAACCAAGGTCTAAGGGGTTTCTTGCCTAATGACATATCAAAGCTACATCACCTACAGAGCTTGTAAGTACAAATAGTTCTCCATCACTTTTATTATAGTTGCTTTTATTTGTTATGTTGGGAATGAATCATGATCTAAGGACTGGTTTCTGTTTCTGCCTTATCAGCCTGTTGTTATAGACCTTGATAATATAGTAGCATTGACATAAAATTATTTGAACTTATTTGCTTTCATAAACTGTTGCAATTGTTTTGCTTATTCTTAATTTTACAATAGATGAACCTCCTATATGCCTAACAGTTTTCTCTTGTTTTTGTTTAACTTGGCTTCTATAGAAACTTGAGTGGAAACACAATTCATGGGGCCATTCCATCCTCACTTGCAACAGTAACCAGCTTAGAAGTATTGTAAGTGTAGCATAACTTCTTGTCCTTCTTGAAGATACTTTTGATTGTATTAACTTCTATTTTACATACAAAACTCTTTGCAATAATATACTTTTTATAGTTAGGACCTGCTATGTCATTGTCATATATAGAACAACTCGTCTATTTTCTCCATGATAGATTTTGTTTAACTTGTTTGTGCCCTTTCATACACGCTAAAATAGTTGTGGGAGGCATTTTTGCAAGGACCCAAAACTTTTCTTCATTAGAACTTTTATTTCCTAAGTTATGTGGAACATAATGTATACATGCTATTGATTAGAACTTTTCTGCATGAACATTGTAGATACTTGATTTTGGCTAGTAATATTTGATACCTTTAAATTTCCCTAAAGTTGCTAAAGTGGAGGTCAAGTTAGAACAGGTAATAAGGTTGTTTCACTGAAGGTTATTTTACCAAACAGCTGCTCATGGAACAGCTATTCACAGAATGGTTCCTTCATGGAATAGCTGTTCACAGAACAGCTATTCAAGGAACAGCTGTTCACAGAATAAATACTTCATGGAACACCACCTTCACAGATCAGCTGCTCACAGAACTTCTTCAAGGAACAACACCAACACCTTTACCGAAAGATCTTTCATTGAAGTTTCTTTACTGAGATTCTACAATATACGCTTCACCTAATTTTATTTCACCAAAAAGAAAAAGTGAAAATAATCCCAGAATATGGTAGGGTTCTTAGGTTAATTCTACTATCAGGATGTTCTGGAGAGTTTTGCTTGGTAGATCAGATATGAAGATAGTTAAAAGGTTTCCTCTTAACCTTTCCCTGAAGTATGAGTGTTTCTCCTCTTCCTTCAGAACAGAAAGTGGATTCTTATGTTCACTATTCACTATCACCAAAAGATAAAACTATTATTGGACAAAACATTCACACTTTTGTAACTGTCAAATTATATCATTATGCCTACTTAATACCCATGTTTTATAACTCCCATTCTTAATACCTATGTTTTGTAACTCTCATTTTGGAGACATATATATAGGAGCTCTTAGAATTCATTTGGGGGACTTTTGGACTTTTGGCAGATTTCTCACAACTCTGTCAAACTCTCTCTACAATTCCCTGTTCTTAAGTTCCTTTCCTCGATGTTATTCTCTCTTCTACTCAGCCCTGTTTCACCATCCACCACCACCTGCCGTTGCACTCAATATTTCAGGGACTGCTCTAGTCTTCCTCTCTAGCATCTCTCTGCACATTTCATTTTACTTGATTGCAACGCTTCGTCACCTCACCAAATAACCCCTTTACAAACATGCAATGTGGGGATTTCTAAAATCATCATATCTGATGTGTTGTAGATCAATGATGCATGCAGGAGTTATTAGTTACATTCTTCTTTCAATAGCCATCATGCTTGAAAGGACATTAAACTCTGGATGCTAGATATTAACATTCTTCCCCCAAAGGAAAATTTGAGTTTTAAGTCTAATGTCTGGGTTATGAGAACCACATGACTATTTCACTTCAGCATCTATAATTCGTCTTATTAATATGACGTCTGAATACATTGTAGGGATCTCTCTTACAATTCCCTCAATGGATCAATTCCTGAAAGCCTAGGACAGTTGACTGCATTACGCAGACTGTAAGTTTTCAACTGGTTGATTAACCTTGGAATCTGAACATATAAAGGATGAGTCTGATTTTAAGTTGTGTCATTGTGCAGGAATCTTAATGGCAACTCTTTGTCTGGAAGAGTCCCAGCTGCACTTGGAGGAAGGCTTTTGAATGGAGCTAGCTTCAAGTATGTTCTCAGAATCTCATTACTAATGGTCTGAAATGTTTCTGTATGAGGATGAACTTGCCACCTGACAATGATAAGTAAAGAAATACATATATAAGATGAAATACCAGATGCTTACTCTAGTTGCATGCAGTTTTACTGATAATGCTGGTCTCTGCGGCATACCTGGACTACCTACATGTGGACCCCACCTCTCTGCTGGTGCAAAGGTCGGTATTGGCTTTGGCGCATCTTTATCTTTCTTACTTCTAGTTATCTGTTCATTGTGTTGGTGGAAAAGGCGGCAGAATATTCTTCGAGCGCAGCAGGTTGCAGGTTAGTACCTTCAGGATAAATATAATAACAAATATAAAAAGCTTGATTTGGCTTCATAACTGTTTTGAATGTTAAAATTGTTTGGTTTTGATTACTTGGACTGATATAAACATGGGACATCCTATGGCAATTAATGCCTGCAAAGTTGCTGCTTTCTCGCAAAATATGGGATGTAAAAGCACATTGAATCAAAGTTTGCAAAGCATAGCAAAAGCACTACTGCACAAGCAACATTTATTGGATTTATTTTATGGGAAGGAATCAACTTACACTAGTGTAGAACTTTTTACACTCTTTACTAATCATTGATTTCAATAAATCCAAAGGATGAGATTAAACAATTTTTTGTTTTTTTGGCTTCTCTTTCATCCATTAGATTTATTGAAATCAATGGTTAAAAAAAGTGCAAAAAGGTGTAAAACTTTTTTTGTGTAACTAGATCCGTCCCCTATTTTGATTGCATATTTATAGTTCATTCTGCTCTGCAGCAAGAGGTGCTCCCTTTGCAAAAGCAAGGACCCATTTATCACATGATATCCAGATGTCAAGGCAACATAATCATGGCAATGCTCGGACAGCTGCTGAGAATGGACCTAGCTTGCTATCGTGATTAATTTAGTGTTCCAACTCTGCTTCATCTTTGGGTTGCCGGATTCTCCTTTGTTCAGGAACATGAATTGCAGAAACAACCTAGTTGATTTGACCCTCTCTGTTTCTTTACTTCATGATGCTGCCTAATCTCTTTCCTTTCAGAAATCTCAAAAAAAGCCTATAGAATTACTTCTAAAGGGGTCATATACCCCAATATTGACACTAAATGCAGCAAACTAAATTATCTTTGTACATTGCTTCTATTAATTTTCAATCAATTTTGGCAAAAGAAATCTTGTAACATAGTGAAGAACAAGTGCATATACAAAGTCATGTTTCCACCTATCTTCTCTGATGTGAATTCAGGGAGGAAACCGGTATCTACTGGCTCGTCCGGATCATGGCAGAAAGGAAACAGGGGGAAAGCTGATTCTCTCAGTTGTAAGCTTATGTTAGTCGTTTGAATTCATTATAATTGATTCTCACATGTTTAGATTTCTTATTTTCTGTCTTTTCTTCTTTTTTCTAGAATCTCGTGTTTAGAGTGTTAGCGAATGTGTATGTGCAACTGCTTATGTTTTTCTTCTACAAATCTATACAGGAAAGGTTATATATGATTGATTTAGAAAGGCCTGCAGCACATTGTTTAATACATACGATCTATCTTTAGTTTTGAGTTTTTGACTCCTGAGTCGAGTAATAATAATTAATCAGTAGTAACATATAGAAATAATGCTTAAAATTTTGAATTATGACACCAAATCCGTGTGGAATGACGTTATGCTTGGGTAGGATAGGAATGGGATCAAAGATGCATCTGAACTTTCTATTTAGCATGGATAATTCGGCTTTGCAGCAAAGCCATCCATTCAAAATCCCAAACTAACAGACACCCGTTAAAGAAAAAGAAATATTGAAAATCTGTACCCCTGCAGCCGCATGCATTTAATTCCAACACGTGTCATGAGACAACCCTAAAAGACAGTCAAAAAAATAAAAGAAAAAGAAAACACAATCCAAAAACCATGAAAATAACTTCACGTGACCATGTGTCAGTTACCTGCAGTCATTCACCTACATCACCCTTTCACCGTACACTTTCCCAGTTTCCACTTTACCCCTCTTTCTCGGTTTCTCCTTCCCCCACACCCCACTCCATTCAACCCAACCCAACCCACACTGGACCACTTTTGTCCTGACTACACCACCACACACCTCAAAATCGAGTCAAACACGCCACCCCCAACCAAAAAAAAAAAAACTTACTCAGTCTCCTTCCAACCCAAACTCGGTCCTGTCTCCTGCAACTCAGACACCTCCTCATGTACTTCCACGTGGGGTCGCCTGCCGTCTCCTACCATCCTCCACTCACTACCCGACACGCCACCCCCGGCTCTTTGATTCTCTGCCATTCTCTGTTATGATAATCATCATCGTCTTATATACATCTTTTTCCTTTTTCTTTTTATTTTATTTTATATTTTTATACTCAAAATTAAAGGCAGGCGCCCGCTGAGAAGCGCCGTACAAAACGAGTAGGGCATACGTAAGAACCGGCGCCGAGTGTAGTCACATGACAGTCTCCTCTGCTCTCACGTCTAATCAGGCGGCGGCTCTTCCTAATTTGGCCTTTTAACCTTTTTTTATTTTTATAAACTAGGCCCCACCTACTTCTTTCCTCTACGTTGTTAGTGTATAAAACAATTTATAAATGAATAGCCGCCGTTGATCAGCATGAAAAGAAAACCCCTTGTATGATGAAATCAAAGGGTAGGGAAAGAGTTGTCAATTTCTTTAAATAAACAAGAACTGCTCGTGCCGTCCAGCCGACGATTACGGGTGACTGTAGTGGGTCCCCCTCTTTAACTTTTCTACTCACAGTCACAAACAAACGCATTCTTCCCTCTTCTCTTAGCAGTTTCTTCTTTAGAACTTCAGGGGCTTCTGTTTTCTCTGTCCCATAAACACAAAGCTGAAAGCTTTTGTTAATTAATCTTTGTTTCAAGCTTTGGATTTGTTTTTTTTTGTTCTTTCATGGCGTCTTCAAGAGAAGGGCACTACAGGGGAGTAAGGAAGAGGCCATGGGGAAGATACGCAGCTGAAATACGTGATCCATGGAAAAAAACAAGGGTTTGGTTGGGTACATTTGACACACCAGAAGAAGCTGCACTTGCTTACGATGGAGCTGCTAGGTCTCTCCGTGGAGCCAAAGCTAAAACCAACTTTCCTGCTCCATCTTCCGCAGCTGGTCTCTCTCTCGATCTCAATCTCCCAACTGATAACCCCCATCATCATCATCGTTGGCCATCAGCTTCAGCTCATCAACATCGCCGTTTAGTCCTTGGTGAGTTTCTCCCAACTGGGAGGGTTCTTAAAGAAATGAACTCTGAAGCTGACTCATCATCTTCAACTAAACCCAATGTTGTCGCCGTCTCAACCGGTCCTCCGGTGACGGGGAATGGATCTACGGCATCGTTTCTCGGGATTGTTCGACGTGGCTTGCCTATAGATTTGAATGAACCCCCTCCTTTGTGGCTGTGAACAGCAAGAAAAAAAAATGCTTCAAGCTTTTCACTGTGAATGAGGTTTCTCTAGGCATTTTACGGCTCTTTTTTTATTCCCTTTTAACTTAACCCTCTTTATGTTGATCACCTTTAGTCTCCCCTTTTTCCCTTAGGTATCTTTGCTACTGTTTTTCTTTTATTATCCTCTATTTTGAGAGTAGGGGGAGTAAGTAACAAGAAGAAGAATCATCAGAACATTTTATAAAGTGAAGAACCTTTGTGTACACATGTATGTTTTTCTTAATTTTCTATGAAGTACTTATCAGTTTTTTTTTCAATTATTATTTTTTATCTTTTTCATACGAGAAAAATTATCATCGGTGAAAATTTTTCCTTCGTCGATTTGCACCACATTGGGCACTTGATCGGACGGTGAGAAATTGAGTCTAATCTGCTGCCTCCCAAGAACCATACAGATACAGATTTTCTGTTCTAAGACGAAGGAATATTTCGTAAACAAAAATTTTAAAAGTTGAAGTACGCGCCGGTGAGATGAGAGTGGGGATTAGTCAGTTGGACCGGGGGGAAACTGCGAAGCAAGCGTGTGGGTTTTTGCATTTCTTTTTTTAGTTTGCTAGTCCAGAGATCTGGTTCTGATAAACGTGGCAGCCTACTGCATAGACCAACTCGCCCGTTCAAGCGCGTGGATTTTTCTTTTCTTTCTCTATTTTTTACCCCTTAATTTAAATAAAAACATGTAATAAGAGAGATGGGAAGAAAATTTGGAAAATTTTGAGGACGTCGTTTTACCTTGTTAAGAAAAATGGGGGTGGCTTTGTTGTTCTGCCGGCTTTTTTTGTCACTTTCATGCTTCTTCTTCACACAAATGACTCGTCCATTTATATCTTTTGCTTGCCGCCTATTAATTATTTACACTGTCAATGTGTGATGTAAAAGTATGCTATTGGATTGGTCTCTCTTGTCTGGCTTTGCTTTCACTATAATCTCAACTCTAATTTGACATATTAAATTATTTTGTACTAAATGAACTATTTGGCTTTAGCATGTTGTGTTACACAAAAGTTGAGTCAAGTCCTAATTAAACTCGATCCTTAGGATTCAATTTCAAAAGGAATCCCAAAAAAATATTCACCGTCATTTGTTCACTGTAAACAAAAAATTGTCAACAACCCAAATCAAGCCAGTGGTTTCCTTTCTTTTTCACTAGTTTCCAGCAAACACTACCATTCCATTTTGCATTTGACAAAAAGGGCACAACATAATTGGTTGGGGCGGCCTAGGGAAAACAGAGGGGACGACCTTTGAGCCATGAGGTTATAGGGTTGGGCAAGATTATACCAAGAGAAAAACAATGAATGGCGGCACTCTTTTTTCTAAAAAATTGACCTAACTTTTTCCAACTTTAAACCACGTTTAGTTCATTTAATAATCAACCCGAACAAAGCTCCTTTTCTTGGAATTTCTATTATGTAACATTTTGACTACGGTTTTTTCTTTTTTTGTTTTTCCATCACGATGAATCATAACTTGCCTGCTTCAACTAGTAAACGACAATGATAAATTTTTCAGTCGTAGGGATTTCGTTGTGTTATTAAGGTTCATTGCATATAATCAAGCCAACAATTTTTCTTCAATGCCATTTTCAAGTTGTAACACCTTGACGACTCCCTCTCCTACACATCGCCTTTTTCATACACCGGTCATTATCTATCTTCATCAAACTAAAATTAAACCAATCTTTGATTGATTTCTCACTTAATAAAAGTACAAAACATGTAAAACATTATTGAAATAGACTATTTTGAGAAGCCATTGAATCAGAAGGGATTTGAATTTCATCGTACTTGTGATACAATGTAATTGAACTTGCATTAATTGAATTCAAATATAAATTTTAATGAAATTCATTCATTATAAAATTTTTAATATTTTTTTAATTATAATTATAATAATAATAATTATTATTTTAATTATATTAAAATCAATCTTAGTATTCATTTAAATAAATTTTTAAATGTCAACAATAAAAAAAAAACTTTAATATTGGCCTTCATGTTAGATCAGCTTTTTATAAGCCAAAAGGATAATTCTAGTCAGCAAAGCAATTTGCAGACCGCATGTAGGACAACTTACGCCAATAAGTCTTTTCTTATCCTTTTTTTTTTAAAGAAATTGGGCAAAACACCCTGTCAATATCCCACCCTTAATACATTGTTTCGTGGCGCAATTATAAAACCATAGCCATAGGCTTATAGTTTAGGAGGTGGCTATAAAATAAACATAAAAAAGATTACAATCAGATGAAAGAGCTTTTTATAACATAATGTATTTATTGCCTCCCTCCTTGTCTTAGATTAGCTTTATTAATTAATTAATTCTAAAATTATACTAATTTTATCATAAAGTTTTATTTTTTTTATTGGAATTCAAATTCGTATATTAAAACATGAGAACAATAAAATTTTAATTTAATCTATTTATTTATATAATCATTTTTAAAAAATTAATATTTAATAAATTTATCATTTAAATATCGATATTTATAATTTTTTAATTTTAAATTACGGTCTCTCATTTTAAATAGGGAAAAGACTACTGAAAATGAAAGAGGAAGCTTAGTGGGAGATTGGATTTGAAGCATTGGACAACGTTTTTCTTTAGTGGGGCCATTTTGTTGGACGGTGGCTTTGTGTTGCTTATTTAATCGTCAAGAATAAATTAAAATTACAAGTAATTGTGAAACCGAATTCTTAATGTCCCACATCCAAATGCCGCTTTCAGATGAAGTCATACACATTAATTCAAGTATAAAAAAATATTTCGCAAAATTATTTATTCAGCTAAAGAAAAAGCAAACTTTATGCTTTTCATTTGTAGCATTCGTACCTTGATTGCAGTTATTGGTGAGGTTTTAAATAAAATAAATTTATTTAATTTTAAAATATTTAAAAATAAATATATAAAATTTTATACGCTACAACATCAAATATAAATAATTGAATAAAACATACACGTAAACGTTCTGTGATCCTTTCTCTTTTTCTCTTGCAGTTTCACGTAATCCTAGCGTCAGCACTCAGTAAACTTGAAGCCATTAATCAGCAGCAGTGCTGCCGCTGCGCCCAGCCGGCCGTCATTGTAAACGCCCCTATTCTCGTGGTCCCCACACCCCTCCCTCTCTTCTAACACTACAAATTTTTTTCTTAAGGTGGACCTGTTGTGAAAAGCCACGTGGCAATCTGACAACTTTGTGGCCCCCTCCCGCCAACGAATCTGTCGGCAGCCAAGGCGTCACCGCTTTCTTAAGGCTACCTCCCAAAAAAAGAAAAAAGTATTAAGTACTAGTGGTTGTAGTTGTTTGTTTTGGTTTTTTAGTTTTTTAATTTTATCGTACGGAGCGAACTCCGTGATCCTGTCGGCGACGGCGGCGGTGGTTCAACGTAGTTTTTATATATAGTTCACACGAAAGGTTCCCTTTCCTCGCGTTTCGCATGATTATTAACGGCGCCGTTAGTTTTGGTTTTCCTTTTTCCGAGTTACGGTTCCCCTTCCCACGTTTATTTATTTACCTGCCTGGCAGCCATGAATGATGGATCTTGCACGAGTGTGCGAGATTTGACGTGTCATCATCTTTGATCATCATCGTTATCATTATTATCATGGATGATGATGTATGACGATTGGCTTTGAGTTGATCTTAATTTTAATTATAAATTTTTCTATTTTAATTTTCCTGTCATTTAATTTCTAATTTAACTCATTAAAAAATTACAACGAGGAATAAAAGGCCGAGATTCTGGATGACAATGAAATTGATGTAAACGTTTCATTATATGGTGGAATTTTCCCAATACCGCTAGAAATGGAGGGGGGTTGGTTGTAAAACAATGGGCAAAATTTTTTTTTGGGCCAAATTTATATTTATATAGATTTAGTTTTTTTTTTTTTTTTTTAATGATGGATTTGTAAAAAGGTGAGGAAGGGATTTTGAAGTTTCGCATGATATGAATTTTGTGTTGCATCCACCAAGTGTTAAGAAGCCACACGTCGTTAAATCACATGAGGGAAGTTTGGACGGTGGATAAATCCTGTCCGCCAATTCCTTGTGCTCAATTGTAGAAAATAAAAAAGGAGCTTATCAAAGGAATATCTTTAATTATTTTAATACAAAACCTATATATATATAATGAGCATACAATCATTCCATGGATATCCAGAGCGAGGATAAAGAGGGACCCATGAAAATGAAATTTATTTTTTATTATTATATTTTTTACGAAAAGAAAAAAAAAAAAACATTACATATGGTCCCAAAAGATAGTTGCAGTAAAGTATAATTTGATTAATTTCTAATCTTTTTGATGGAATAATCTGGGGACAATTTTGTTGATTGGTGAGGATTGAGGAGTGGCTCACGGCTAAGCTTTGACTTTTACTTTTTCTTTCGAAATAAAGCATGGCCTTGAGGGCTTGGTAATGTACGGGAAAAGGAACAGTGTGGTCCAAAGATCATAACCTGTCTTGCAAATTTGATTTATCAAATCCAGTATAACGCATTAAATTATTTAGATTTCTGCCCTGTTTTTAATATTTGCTTAAAAATTCCACTGAGGTTGGGTTTGTTTTGTCTGGTTGAAACATTTAACACATGTACTAATTGGGATAAGGACTTGACATAAAAATTTTCAATTCTAATTAACAACAATCATTCAACTAACACTAAAGCAAACCAAACAGTCTACAAGTAGTAGTAATTATTAATGCTGAAAACCGATGAAGGTGATTACCAGCGCAGTCAACGAACATTTCCCCATTAATTCAATTTCTCAACTACTTGTTCTTATAGGTAACTTGCAGAGCCAAGGGATTTGGCCCAGGGTGCCTTTGCAGGGCCACGGTTCCATCATTTGTTTTTGCAATGCCTTTATTTATGTTTTAGAGATTGTACAACTTTTTTGCCATGTTTTTTTAAGCGACAGAGTATGATGAAACAGTTGCTGCCTATGAGAAAAAAAGGGAAAGGCATGAAAAAAGGGAAGAAAAAGTAATGGACCAAAGTAAATGCTTCATTTCATACCTTTGAACAAGAAGGAAGAAAGGGGAAGAAAAGATAGGGGAGTGGGAAAGAAAGTAGAGACCCAACAAAAGTTTAAAGTGTACTCATATTAAAACAATGATGATTCCGGCTTATTGTTGTCTAATTTTGAACGCACAAAAGCGTTTGTGAAATCAACTTTCCTTTTTTTTTTTTTTTTTTTATCAAAGTAAGCTTTTTATCAGTCTTTCAATGGAGGCTTTCAATATATATGATAAGAGAGTGAATAGTGGAGAAGAATGGTCAATGTCTCCTATGATAGAGAGTGAAAAAAATAAAGTGAAAACATAGATCACGGGACAAACTAACGATGATTGACTCTATATAGAAATATTTGATGGACCAACGAGAAAAAGGAGAGAAGCCTTATGCCTTGTTAGGAAATATTAATTTCAATATTGTGGTATAAATTAAGGACTAGCGCATTTAGAGATTAAAATAAAAAATAATAAAAAAGAAAGCTTCAAAACACTTATTTTATTATCTTATTTGGATGAACTGAAAATAAATTATCTTATTTTTTTTCTTATATATATACATAACCAATAAAAATAAAATAATTAAAAGTCCAAATTATGACGCCTGGAATTTCCTATTCGAAGGTAAAGATGGGCAGAAACCAGTGAAATATACGGTGGATCAAGCTTCGCCCAAGGAATAAATTCCACGGCGAGGATTCGATGAATAATGACAAGTTGAAAAGAAATCGCGGGCCTTTATAGTGGTTTTGGAACAACAGTAGGATGCTATCAATTGTCAAGGGAATGGCACTAGCTAGGTCACGACTCATTGTTCAACTCGTGGGGAACATGACCGCCGAACAAACTTGGCTACTTGCGTCCACCAACTTCCAAGTTTGGCTTCTTATCTTCTTTGAAAGCAAAACCTATGGCCACTAGAGTCTTCTAGTCGGACAAATGTATTTTCTTAATTATCATATAAACTAAAATCTCAATTAAAAATATTTTTATTTATTAAAACGAAAATAAATATATATATTTAAAACATAATAAGTTCCATTATATTTCCTTAAAATTTACTTTAATCCATTACTATAATTTTGGGTTTTTCTTTTAAGTAAATATTTTCTAACGTTTTGTATTTAAAAAAATATATTTACTTGCTAGCATTGTGTCACATAAATAAAAAGAAAATAAAATAAATTTGGACTTAAATGAAATAATTCACTCAATTTTTTTTAATTTAGAAAATAGCTAATCTAATTCTCATAAAATTGGTCTTATCTCAACATTTACAAATTTTCTCTTTGGTGATTTAATCTTTTGACTTCTCTTTTTACTTAAAAAAAAAAGAGAGAGAGAGAGAAAAAGGTTATCTTAAGATTTAGAAGTAATTGTTATAATTTCTTCAATAAATAATTGGATTGATCATATGATTAAACAATCACCTTCACATGGGAAAAAAATTGTAATTGCAGTAAACGAATATTCTAAGGCGCCAGGCGGGAGATTGGTTAGACTCGGAAGAAATAAGGGTACTCAGCATTACAAAAATATAAGTAATTTTGATGATTTGTGTAGTTATATTTTAATATAAAATATTAAAATTATATATATTTATATTTTTTATAAAACTTATATAATATAATTTATGTTAATATAAAATATAAAATATATTTTATTAATTTTATATAATTTATATAAAATTATTATTAAAAATTTAAATTATATCATATTTATATTTTTATTTATATTAATATTATATTATAAATTATTAAATTTTATATAAATAATATTAAAGTACAGATAAAAAAAAAAGGACAAAGTCCCCGAGAGTATGAAAATATGTTTGCTGGGCAACTGGTAGCCACGTGTGACGCTGTCAGATTCTAACTACACCGTGTCTGACGGCTTAATAAAAAATATGTTATTATAATTTAAGGAGTTCCTCTGGTTTCAAGGCCGAATGGCGATGGCTTTCATTTCTTCCCTTCCATTCCATGCTTTGCTAAGCTTTCAAAAATTTCACACCCACAAGTCATCATTGTTAACCTACTTGAAACTTGCTGGCCCAACCCCCGCAATTATAATTTTTTTCTTTTGTAAAAATAAATAAGGAATAAAACATTATATCAGTCGACATTTACCTTGTAACATGAAAGAGGTTGGCCAATTTACCATCTAATTATTAATTGACAATTTCTAAATTTTTATAAAGAAAACATTATACATTCAAATTAAAAACTTTTCATCCAAAAGATTGGATGTGGCACATACATAAAACAGTACATGGGCAACATATGCATGAGTGATGGGATACATCTTTTTTTTTTTTTGTCAAGTTAACCCGGACTACAAATTTCAATTCCTCGATTAAGAAAGAAATTAAGTCAAAAAGTTTATTCTTTTAGCTACGTAACAAAAATTAGACAAGCCCAAAGGATGACAACAAGTGAAATTATAAAGCCAACACCGACGCAGTTTTTAGGTCCAAAGAAAAATAAAGATGGGCATCTAAAAAGAAAAAATTAATTAATTAATTAAAAAGTGTCACATCAAGCAGCAACAAAAGTCCACTTAAAGTAGAAGAGAGGGTAAGGCAAAAAATACAACCAGCCGCCCCACACCCTCCATCCAATTTTTTTTTATAATAAAAATTATTTGGTACAAAATTTTTTAAATTTATAAACAAAGTTAATATGAGGATATATATTATATTTTTTATTTTTTAAATTATTTCAAAATATATATCATTTTATTAATCATATTTATAAAATTAAAAAATTTATTTTAACAGTTTTTCTGATAATTTTTTTTATTACTGTCATTTTTCGGCCCCCACCCCGCCCTTCTCCTATATTATTAATTCTTATTATTTGGTGTGCTTTTTTTATTATCTTTTTTAGGTTTTTTTTTAATCAGATAATAGTATTTTTTTAGACTTTAGCATGAGCGTGAAACGTGGCGCATCACGAGGCATCAGTCTTGTCTATCGAAATCAGGCGGTGGAACGGAAGGGATAAAAGAAAAATGGTCCCATAAAGCAAACAGCTTTAACGTAAACACGCCGACCTGCCGGCGTAACTGTCTGTCCAAATCCGACACGTCATCTTTCCTCTGGGCTTTCTCTGCGCCGTACTCTCCCTCCCCTAAAGCCCACTATTTTATAATTTTTTCTATTTTCATTATCTCATTTTTAATAAATAAAATAATTTTAAAAAATGATCCCTTTCGTATCATGACATGTTTCCTATGCATGGCATCCCAATAAGGGCCAGAACCGCAACCAACTTTGGTTAAAACAATACATCCAATTGTAATTAATTAATTAATTCATTAAATTGTTTTGCGTGCATTTTCAATTTTCACCATACCTGGGGGAGGCAATTACTCGGCGTGAGGACATTGGGTGTGAGCGCTGTTGCTGTTGGATTTGGATATACTGGACGGATAGAAAGTTAAAAAATTCGAGTCGAATAATAATAATAATAATAATAATAATAATAATAATAATAAGTTATTGGTTAATGATATAATGAATTATTTGTGAAGAAACGGGGGAAAGCGAAATCTTTGAGCATAGATATTGACGACCAAAGATCGGGGCCCAGCAAAAGCGGCAGCCGCGCATCCCCACTTCCAGCGCCCGCGTTCACGTGGGTCCCGGTCTTGTCTCCTTCCCCTCCTTTTTCGTGTTAATAGTTTTTTTAAAGCAAAAAAATTGCGATAATGATTAGCTTGAAAATGGAAGACAGAAACACACGCAAGGATCGGACGGCCGTATAACACGTGCAGCTCAGACACGAATCTCGAGAGGTTCCCAGTCACGATGGAATTAGCTTTTCGCCTTTCGGTCTCCTACGTAGAAACCCGCTCTTTCATCCCCCTCACGCGCAGCTTGTGTTCCCCGTCACAATCACTCGCATCTTCTACCTCTCGTTTATTTACTGCTTTGCCCCCGTTGCCTTTTAATATTTCTCCACTTTTTTTTTTTTTTAATGAAAAATGAACAAAAAAGCCATGGAGTTTTCCTTGCACTGCAAGTTGAAAATCCTTTCAGTTCAACAAATCCTACGTTCGTAAAGTTTTTACTTCAACAAAAACGCTTCTTTATTTTATTTACCCCTGTTTTTGGATTCTAATTCTTGGATGTTGAGCATAATATTGACAAATCTCTGGTGGGAAGTTAGTTAGCCTATGCCTTTCAAAAGTCTTTAAGAAAAGGCAATTACCAAAATCCGTCTTTGTTTTCTTAGAACTGGAATGATTAATATTTTGCAAATTAAGAAAGTTGGTATTAAATCAGTTCAGTAACCAACTGAACCAAAAAAATAGCAATGCACCAAGAGCACAAATCATATAAGTTAGAAATACATCCAATTTAAAGGAAAAAAAAAAAAAAAAACTTAGATGTAGATAACTGGTAAGTAAAATTCGCCCCCTCACGGTACAAATCTCAACTATATTCCCTCATTTAGAATTAGCAATTTAACAAAAAAAAAAAATAAAGACTTTACGAAAAATCTTTTTTAACAAATTAAACTCAATATATATATATAATTTTTTTGACTAAATTTTATATATAATTTTTTATAAAAATTTTTAAGACAATTTTTCATAAAATTTGAACTATATCACAATTATATGTTCGTATTTTATTTAAAATTATTAAATTTACTTGATAAATAATTAAAAAGCAAAACAAAAATGTGATGTTTGAGTAATGCGGGCTGGAGGAAATTTATACATCCAAAATATCTTTTATTCCAACAGATTAAATATAAACGAAAGAGATCTAAAGAAATATCAATAAAAATAAAATAACTCGTTTTTCAGATTCCGGCGATGATATTTATCATCCCACAATTATAGATTACCAAATATTATAACCCAAATAATTTTCATTGAAAAAAAGTGCGGTAGCTAGTTATGGAACAGCAAGACATGTTTCTGTCTTGCAAAAAGGGAAGATTATCAGTAACTATTCACATCTCTTAACCGCCGTTGATATTATGATTGGACGGTTGTCACAATAGATCTCATCAACTTCTCACCACACTTGCTGTGATTGTATTTTCTTTTACTTTTTTTTTTTTGGTCTCATTTTCTCTATTCTACTTCATTTTTTCCCTTGAGAACTAAAAGGTAAAGAAATAAAGTCAAATAACAAAATTTGAAAATTTGTGCTTTTCCGGGTTGACGATCGGCGAATATAAAAAATAAATCAGGCGATTTCCGGAAGAGCTGGTTGGTTGAGATCGATATTTAGAAGCGGACGGGGCTTGACCTCGTGGTGGTTCAAATCGACCACGGACGATGAATCGGAGTCGCTTTGCACTCCAACGTTGAACGTCGCGTTAAAATCATGATGATCGAATCTCATCTGTTGATACTGCTGTCCTTTGAGTAAACCAGGCCTAACGAACGCATCAAAGTAAAAAATTTGAGGCCTCGCAATAGCCGGCACACCGTCCGCAAAAACGCCCGCAACCGGTGAAACTTGCTGGAAAGGAAACCTAACAGTGGAAGACTCGTACCCCTTAACTGCTGTTCCGTGTCGGAGTTTGAGATTCAACGGGGAAGAATCCGTCAAGGGCGTCCGCTCACGGCTCGAGGACTCCACGGTACTGCTCTGGCTGGGGCTCTGGTTGTTGTTAGTACCATTATTGCTACAGTTATTACCGTTGTTAAGATTTTCAAAGGGGAGAGGAAAATTAGTCTTAGCCTTGGCGCCGCGAAAGTCACGAGCGGCGGCGTCGTAGGCTCTGGCGGCTTCCTCAGCCGTATCAAAAGTTCCTAGCCAAACACGGCTCTTCTTCCCCGGATCTCTAATCTCAGCAGCGTAACGGCCCCACGGACGCTTCCTCACTCCTCTAAAATGAAACTCCTTACTATTCCCGTTACCGTTGCCGTTACCCTTGACGGCCGCCGTTTTCTCCCTCGGCGCCATTCAAAAAGGTAAAGACTTTCCGTTTTCCGTTTAAAAAAGAGAGTGAGACAGTGCTTTATCTCTTCTTTTTTTTTTTTCAACGAAACAGCTGGTATTGGTGTGGGGTTGTGAGAAAAGGCTGGGGGAAGCGAGGATTTTATAGAGGTAAAGGTGCATTTAGCGAGGAATTAAAGGAGAGGGGAAGGCACAGTCAATGAGCGATTTGACTGACAGGGCAGCTGAGAGAATGAGTGAGGAGTGGTGGTAGTTTTGTAAATTAGGAACTCAATTACGGGGCATGTGGGTTCAGAGTATACTATATCACATTATCATTATCTGACGGCTGTTAAATACTGTTGATTGCGTGCTGTGGTATAGGCTCCATCTCACTCTCTCTTTGATCACGTCTCACACACTTTTTTTTCCTAATTAAAATCAATAATTTTTTATAAAAATATTTTTATAATTAAATAATTTTAATTTTTTGAAAATTTTAAAGTAAAATTTGACGAGCCTAAATTTATGGATGGCTCTATAAAGTACTATTACTTTAATAATGGTTTAAGTTTTTATTTTTTAAAAGTGATTTAAGGATACGGAAACTAAATATTTTGTTGAGGCAAGCGAAATAAAAATTACAATATAAAAATGTTTGACAGTTTCATGAATTAGAAGTAAACATTAAACAACGAGAGCTCTATTTTACTAATATTTTTTTTGTTAAATGAAGTAATTAATAATTGGGCGCGTGAAGTAACTGATGTGAAGTGACAATAGGAAGTTTGAATTAGTTGTCGGCATGTTCTGCTAACACGGCGCGTGAATTGGATCGGCTATTTGATTTTGGAGTACGACAAATAAGGAAAGAGGGGGCTGGCTACTGGCTAGCCTTTGCTTTGCCGCTTTGCTCTCTTCTTCGTAATTTTTCTTTTTCTCTTTTTATTTCTCAATTTTCATTTTGTTCAAACTTTACGGGCTTTTTTTAGCACAACCCCAACCACGCCCTTTAGGCGGTTTTAGTTGGTACCCTTTCGAACCGCTCGCTTGGACCACAGGTGTTACCCACTATTAGACTGTTAAAATAATTCATGCTCTAAATATTTTGATTTATTTTGATTTAAATAAAAAATATCAAAAAAATTTTTAAATTAAGATTGAGTGGAAACTAGATTCTACGTGGCATCATCATTTGGATATAAAAATATATTTTTATTATTTATTATTTTTATATTATATTAATAAAAATATTATTTAATATTTTAATTTAATAAAAATATTATCTTTATATAATATATTACAAATAATATTTTATAAATTATATTAAATTAAATTTATTAAAATAAATTTAAATTGAATCAAATTAATTATAATTTATGAATATATAAATTGAGTTAAATATAAAAAATATTTAAATATTAAATTAAATTTGAAAATAAATATTAAAGGAGTAAAGATGGAGGCAATCGAGAACTAATCTCGAGCCTATATCCAACATCCAATTAAATCTCGCCACGTTTCTTCTGTTATTAACGCGTGTTGATTGGCACCCAACATCCATAAAAAAACGCTCGTCACTCCAACGCCTGCCATCAACATGAGTAGTTTCTGACAACTAGTATCAATTTCACCCGACAGCTGTCTTCCCTCACCCCCCCCTTCAATCTCTCCGTGAATCGCACGCTCCTCTTTATGAATATTACTCCACTACCCTCTCTGACCCCTTCCGGGCTTTATAACAGTTATTTAGGTTCTTAGTTAAATGTCTAACAATCTCGCAAAACACGTTGCCATATGTTAGAAATGTTAATAACTTTTATAAATTATAAAACTGCCCTTTTAAGGGGTGGAGGCATGTCTTCTGGGGTAGGTTCCTTTATAAATGCATCATTTAATGGCACACAAGCTTGATCTTACAACGAAATTTATAGTCAACATGATTTGTTAATAAATTATTCAAATCTTAGTTTTACTGATTAAATTTAATATTAATAATTTTAAATATAAAATTAATAAAAGAGATTATATAAATTTACAACTCTGTTTAGTATTTACAGGAATTTATTAATATTTTTTATGATATTTAAAATCATCAAATGCTAAGTTTAAGCAGCACCACCATATTTTCTTACCCACGAAGCACTTATGTGTTATAAAAGCATAAAATTAAAGATGTATTGAAGTATTTATTATTGATTAGGAAAGTTTAAAATCAAATCTGTTCCTATCAATTCAAATATTAACACAAAATTTTCATTTTTATGAGTTATAGCTATTAATATTAAAACAAAAAAATTTATTGAAAAGCATTTCTAAAGCTAATATAATTAAAAGACATAATTTGACTACCCAGGACTAAGGCCATTAAAGGCGAAACCAAACAAGGGAGCTGCTAGGAAACTGAGCATGTTAATAACTTGGTGACTTTGTGTTTATGACCTAACTTTTAGGTATCTAAGTTTTATTTGATATAAAAAAATTAATTAAAATTTTAATTTTAATTATATAAATTAATTAAATTAAATATTAAATTTTGTGGGGAATAAATAATTACATTTGAGAATTTGGTTTGGAAAATTTTTAATTTACAAAAATAATAAAAAAAAAGGCAAAATTAAGGCACAGGGAAGGTGAGGGCTACGATAGATGAGAATAGATTTTGGCCTAAACAGCTGCAGGGAAAAGTTTTTTTCTCAGCGTTACATTCCAATTCTCTCAATTAAAATCCGCCGAACTTTGTCGGCATTTACGAGCTCTACGCGGCTTAGCTAGCAAGCAACAAGGCAAAGGATTTTCTTGTGGCAAGTTGATCTATCAACGGTGTGCAAGGCTTTAGTCGGTAAACCGTACGAGTTTGTATGATCCTATCAAATAATAAGTGAACAGATCCATATCTGACAACAAAGAAAAATCTTACATAAATCGTATAAAAGATTTGTTTGTTAATGTTGTGTTTCCAAAAACAACCACCGTAGATTAGAGTAGCCTTTCATTTTTGGGGTGATGGCTGCCCACAAAATTTCCAAACACGCTCCCAAAACCAGCCACGAAATTTCTGTTGCCGGCTGTTCGGCAGAAATTTTGGGCCCACAAGTACACCCGCGTCGAAATTGACTTAATTGACTTTGAAATTAATGCCATGTTTTTAAATCTGCCACAATGGTGATCAGTTCAAATTGTTGAAAAAAATGGCCTGACTATATAAAATTAATAGTAACACATCTCTGATTTTCAGTCTGAATTTTGCATTGAGTTTTATTTGTTAATTAGTAAAATCCATACACGGCATGTATAATTGATTCAACGTTTTATTATATATATATATTTTGCAGCATTAAATGCATTAATCAGGTTGACTGAACAAGTGGCCTTTTACGTTGTTTCAGCACTGCGCTTCCAAGTCAGCCATCTCCTTTGGTCTCCTTTACATGGCCCATTCACTACTTTTTTTTTTTTTTTCAAATCTTTGCATTAAATGAAGATATTTATTTAACTTTTTTTTTAAATGAGCTCACTTAAGTATTTGAGTAATCTTGATAAATCCATATAATAATAATAATAATAATAACAATAATATAATTAAAAAAATTTTATTAAATATCAATAGTTGTATAACTTATCGAAAAACTTTTAAATTTTAATTTTAATAATAAAATTATCATACACATTAATAATTATCAATATTTATTAAAAAATCATATTAATATTTTTCTATAATTATTACTATTTTTTAATAAGAGATTAGTCAAGCATACGGTATTGACGGGGGACGTGAATGTGTATGTTTTCCCATTATTTTCAATGAAACATCTTATCTGTTTTTTTTTTTTTAGGACAAAATTTCCCAAGCCAATAAAATGTGAAGGCTTGTGTGAATGGGAAGTGAGAACTGGTCGCGGCTTTGAGCCATCACTTACAAAGTCAAATATAAAATTTGCATGCATTTGGGTTCATGATGCCCCATTTCTGCGTGTTGACCATCAATTTCTTTTTTTTTTTTTTGGCGTTTTTGAGATGTTAAATTTTGCTTTGGACTCAAAAAAAAAAAGAAAAAAGGACAAACTCTTTGACATTATTCGCTGTATGAGGAAAATATTTCAAAGGAAAGAATCGGTGCCATGGAAGAATTGCTCAAGATTTTGATGCTTTAGCATATGTCAACAAAAGAATATGATACCATTGTCAACAAACCAATGCTAGAATAAAGTTAAATCTTCAGAGCTATCATTCCAGTTGTGATTGATTGAGGATCTAGAAGCACCTCCCATCGAATTGTTAGTATCGGGAAAAACTCAAATCTCGCAAGGAATTTATTTGAAATTTTTTTAAAATAAGTTAAATATTATTTGATGAATAAAAAAATTTTATAAAAAATGGGGGGGGAGGGGGGGGGGGGGAAGTTTCGTAAACTAGGCCGCTAATGTTTTTAAAGAATGTTATTCCAATGATGAATACGACCTTTAAGTTGGGTTCTTTTTGTTCAAAAAAACAAAGGCGAAAGCAGGCTTTGAAGGTAAATTTAGTCAAAATGCGAGCGTTGGCTGGAACTGAAATCCAGACCACAGAAGTTATACGCGGACTCAACGCTGGATCGGGAATTTTGCTTGTCCTGCATTGCTTTCGTTTCAAGGAAACAAAAAAGCCGCCTTTTTTGACTTTTGCATGTAGTCTTAAAACCACCAAGCTCTTACAATTATGGTAGTTTCTTGGAAAATTTCTTGGCGTTGAAAGTGTTGGCTGTCTTGTCTTAACCTTAATACAATAATGAATGCCACAAATTTAAAAATAGTGTTTGACCCTACTAAAACAAAATTATCCACGAATATTGTCGGCAAGTCGTGGGTGACCAGGGGCTTCAACAGCTGGTTGGACAGTGATGATCCTAGTCCAAACAACGAGCGAGACAGTTCAATAACGCAGTTGGGCTAGGATTGCTCCGTTCCACTCAAAGCATTTGGGCTAAGCATTAGCCTGGTTACAATTCCAGTTAGATGGACCAAAAGCTTCAGTTTCTGGATTTGGTCTGGCGAACTCCTTCCTGACCCAAAAGGAAACTCCTTTTTGGGCCTTTTCTAAAATTGACATTCAATTGTAAAGGGATTATTTATTGATTATATCTATTTTTTTGAAACATGTAATTTATAAGAAATATATTAAAATTAATTTATTTTGATTTAAAATTATATGAAATTTATCAAAAATTTATATAAATTAGCATGTATAAGTGATAAATCTTTACATAATTTTTTATTATAATTAGATAATTATAAGATTATAATAAAAAATTATAGATGATATATTCCCTTTTTTTGAAACTTTTATAATTTGTAATTTAAAAATCGAACCTAATTCTTTATTTATAGAAACGGAGTCGAACCCACTTCTTAAACATAAAGTTTAAAGAGTTCGTCTTTCCTACATTTTTATGAAATTTGTTAAGAAAATTATGCTGTGTATTTTTTAGTATACCATAAAAAGAATATATAATAATAACCTTCTAATCCCATTAATGAAGTTTACAAATAAATTTTTAAGATACTTTGAAAAAGAAAAAAAAAACTGGATACTTTTAAAAACATATTCACTGATTAGGCAAGAGAGTCAAAATCTAAGGTAAGGCACCACCGAAAACTCTTATTGAGTTTAATACTTGAATTCAAACCTAATCCAATGTATTAAGAAATGTGTCAAATGAGCTTTAGATATGTTGGGAGAGTTGTAGTAGGCTATATAACCAATAAAACTAAATAATGAAATTGGTAAGCAAATTTTATCATTTAACAAAGAAAGATAAAAACAAAACAGCACGTGGTTTATACTTCTGTTTTCTTCGCAACATTATAATGTGTTTTGAGTGTTGACAAAGCTATTTTTCAAGTTGAAATTGGCAGTGTTAAAAACGTTTTTCTTTGTTTTCTGAACGGGTAATTGAAAGCGCCATCGGAAGCATCGTAAAGTCGTTCTAACGCAGAGTACCCAGAATGCTCAAACAATTTGACTTCATCGTAGTCTGACTTTTCGTCGCTAGTCTTTTTCTTTTTAATCAATTTTGAAACTACAAAAAAAAAAGAAAAAAGGAAGGAATGCTCATCCTCCATGTGACCATGTGAGAGCTAAAAGCATACGTAACTTTTTCCAAGCTTTGGAAAAAAATTGCCAAAAAAAAAAAAAAAAACTCCGTAGTCCAAACCGTTAAGAGTACGTATATTTGTAAGCGTTAAAAAACTATGAACCGTTAGAAACACGTTGCTACGTGGCAGACAAGTGGGCAGTTTTCAGACAGTCGCCGTCCACCTGGTAAAATCTCCCAGCTTACATTGGCCGCTGTGTGCAGTCAAACGTCAGACTGTGCAGCGTCTCTTTCATGACTTCTCTCTCAAACACAACTATTTTTTTCAAATAAAAAATTCAAAGAAATTACTCGGACCAAAGACCACTTCAATGGGTCGTCTCCTACCTTTGCATCCGACTAAAGCCCCCCAATCCGAACTCAGTTTCACTAAACCCTCACGCAACTCCAGCCTCCGTCTGATCAGGAATCATGGCCGGCAATCTTTATCAAATGAACCCGCAATCGGCAGCAGAAAAGGCGGTTTCAGTGATCGGGTTCGGGTACGACTTGTCCAAGGATATCAGGCTATCGGCTTGCCGGGCGGGCCCTTCCGGGTCGAGATTGATCGAACTTGACTCAACAGTGAGTCGGGACCTGGTTTTCCCTGGTGGGGTGGTTGTTAAAAATGTGCCCAATTCGATTAAATGCGATAAAGGCGAGCGTACTAGGTTTAGTTCTGATGTTCTTTCTTTTAATCAGGTAAGTTGCAAAATCCCTTTTTTTTTCTTGGTTTCTTTATGATGAATTTTAGACAGTTTTTCATTAACGGTCTTACGAAACTGTTCTAAAGAAGCTCTTATTTGTTTATGTTCTCTTGTTTCTCTTTTTTGCTGGTTCTTGCGCATTTTTGTTCTTTGGAAGTTGTTTTGAAATTTAATTTGTCCACAAACGTTGCTTCTGTATATAAATAAATAATAGAATGCTAAGCATATGCTTTGATAATAGAAACGGAAAACGACCTCGGAGTCTGAGTGTTTTCTTGAGTCTTTGCTTGATGGATTTGTTGCTTTCTTTGAATTAAACTTGTGGTAATTTTGTGCTAGATGTCAGAACAGTTCAATCAGGATTTCTCGTTATCCGGCAAGATTCCTTCGGGCTTATTCAATGCCATGTTTGAGTTCAAGGGCTGCTGGCAGAAGGATGCCACTGCCACAAAAACTCTTGCTTTGGATGGTTGGTTCATAACACTGTACAATGTAGAGTTGGAAAGAACTCACATAACTTTGTCTGAGCATGTGAAACAAGAGGTGCCTACTACATGGGACCCTGCTGGTCTTGCCGAGTAAGTTCTATAAACACAAGTTTGGAATGGTTTGGGGTAAAAGACTTGCTTGGAATTATGGTTTCTTACTTTGTCATATGAAATTGCGCTTCTTTTTATTCGGATTATAAAATTGCACTTGTGACTTTAGTGCTTCTATTGAGGTTAACCGTGTGTTAGTATTGATTTCGTTTACTAAATCATTGCCAATTATGTTTTTTCCCAGGTTTATTGAAAAATATGGTACTCACGTTATTGTTGGGGTTAAAATGGGGGGTAAAGACGTTATACACATAAAGCAATTACAAAATTCAAATCTTCAGCCCAATGAAGTGCAGAAAACTTTAAAGCAATTAGCTGATGAGAGGTTTTCAGAAAATGGAAAAACTCCTGAATTTTCAGAACAACCAAAGGTACATTTAATCTTAAAAATCTAATGAATTATACATGCATATTTCTTTTTTAAACGTTACAGGGTAGGCGAAATTACAGTGTTTAGATAAATTACAGGGTAATGTTCACTATGCACTGTATATTTAGGATTTCCTTGGTAAGAAGTAAGGGAGGTAGTGATAATGTGATATAGATGATAGAAGGATGCAATTCAAATTGGTTATTATTTAATCTTATCTATATATGAGTTCATGAAAGAGCCTTGTCAGCAAGGCTTGGGAAATACTCTTGTTCAACTTTATTTGTATTTATTGGTGCAGGAAGAACCTTATATGCCCTGGGAACTTCAAGGGGTGCTTGCTGCATCAATTAGGCCACCTGTTGTTACTCGCTCAAAGAATAATGTAAGTTTCTTGGTGTCTATTTTAGCAGCTGTTTCAAAACTGCATCCCCTAAAAGGCAACCTGCTTCTAGTAGTGGTGACTCTTTCATTTGATTTTTGTAATTTTCCATTTTGCAGGATATTGTGAATATTTATATTCGAAGGGGAGGTGTTGATTTTGGTCAAAGTCATAGCCAGTGGCTTTCAACTATATCACAGTCACCTAATGTGATATCAATGTCCTTTGTGCCTATTACTTCTCTATTGAGTGGTGCCCGGGGCAATGGATTCTTAAGTCATGCAGTGAACTTGTACCTACGATGTGAGTTTGCATAATTCTTATACTGTCAGTTTGGTCTTTCCAAGTCTAAATGACTAGATGTGTATTATATTGGGGCAATTCGGTGATTGCAAGGAGACAGCCTACTAGTAAAGCAAGTCGATATCCTTGAATACTACTTAGTCTTTGTAAACCGGAATTTTACCCCGTTAGTTGGATAAATTAATTAGCTCATTCACGTATTTATACTTGATAAATGCAATTATTTGATGTTGAGTTACCATTTATTCATACTTTGGTACATTTCCAATAAATGTGATGGGAAATAGGATTGTTTATACTCTTGGCAGATTTATGGGACATAATAAATAATTAAATACATTGTAATAATATAATTTTTGCGGACACTGATTGCTTGGGTGTTCCCTTTGAGTGAATGCTTGTGTATATGAAACATCATTGTAAAGTTTGTAAACCATATTACCATATCCTTCTTTGTTAGTGTGGTGTATATGTGAGCACTGATTTTGACCTCTATTGATTGGTAATATATGCAGATAAACCACCAATAGAGGAACTCCAAGTATTTCTAGAATTTCAATTGCCTAGACAATGGGCTCCCGTATATGGTGACCTGCCTCTCGGTCTCAAGCGTAGAAGACAAGCATCCCCATCACTTCAGTTCACTTTTATGGGGCCTAAGCTTTATGTTAATACCATGAGGGTATTATATTGCTGCACACAATAATACTTGCACCATTTATTTTGACATTTTGAGTTATTTCTGGTTGCTTGCTGCTTAAGTGAAGATCCTTAATAGTTGATATGTGGAATGGTAGTGTCTACAAGTTGATGAATGCATCTATCCATGTTCCTTGTCAAATCTACACAAACTCCATCGCATATTAAAGTTACTCTGTTTGCTTAGCTATGGTTAAAAATCTTTACTATTCTAGATGCATCATTTATGTTAGATTGTTAATTAACTTCTCATTTTATTTAACCTGTCATCTAAACTTTTGACCATGCTGGTAAAGTGCTTGCTTTGTGAACTGGTAATACGGATAGAATGCTTTCCTTGTTTAGTAACTGTAACATTACAATGGGGCTCAAATAACCATGTTAAGAAAAAATGTTGTCCATTAGAAAACAATGTGGAACCTTCTTCACATCTTATTTTAGGAAATATTGCCTTCATAATGTTGCAGGATGCTTGCCATGATTAAAAAGTAGCTTGTATCCAGTGTGCAATTAATGCTGAACTTGTTCCACCAGAACTCGTGCACGTGATTACCATTCTCATTTGACTAAGTCCCGAGTTCCAACCTGGTCTAAAATCCTTTAATCCACCAATTGCAGGTTGATACTGGAACTCGACCTGTGACAGGAATACGCTTATACCTGGAGGGCAAGAAGAGCGACCATCTGGCAATCCATCTTCAGCATCTCTCAACTCTTCCTACAATCCTCCAGCTCTCAGATGATCACAGTTATGAGCCCATCAATGAGCCAGAACGTGGGTACTTTGAACCTGTCAAGTGGAGCATATTCTCGCACGTATGCACTGCCCCTGTACAGTACAATGGAACCCGCTTTGATGAAACTGCTTCTATAGTGACCAAGGCTTGGTTTGAGGTAAAGGTTGTTGGCATGAGGAAAGTTCTGTTCCTGAGGCTTGGGTTCTCCATGGTGGCCTTCGCTAGGATCCGTAGATCAGAATGGGATGGGCCCTCAACTTTGTCGCGGAAATCCGGAGTCTTCTCAATGTTGATTAGCACAAGGTTCAGTTCAGGACTGAATCCCCGAGAGAAGCCAACTAAAGTGGATTTAAATTCAGCAGTTTTTCCAGGAGGTCCACCTTCACCTCCTAGAGCACCAAAAATGACAAACTTTGTAGACACAAAGGAGATGGTTAGAGGACCTGAGGAAACACCTGGATATTGGGTGGTTACTGGAGCCAGACTTTGTGTAGAAGGAGGCCGAATCTCTATCAAAGCTAAGTATTCTTTGTTAACAATAATGTCAGAAGAAAGTATGATGTTGATGTGAGAAAATCAAACGAGGAATACGCATTATTTGTACCGCTGTAAGTGTTTTCATGTACATCATTTATTTGAAATGACCTTGAATACAAGGCCGTTCTTCTAAATTGTGTTTTGGGAACCAAAGGGTCCCGTTTCCCAACTCCTCTTGTTTCTTGCAGAGAATTTCGACTTCTACCAAGCAGACCTTAGTGTCCTTGCCTTTCACAGTAAGTAGTTTGTGTTGTATCTGTGAGGACGTTAGCCGTCTTAACTTTTGCCTGGGAAATTAAGCACTGATTCATGCTTGCTAGCTCATCTGTAGGATGTGGGACTGACTGAGCACCACTCTCCTAAACCAATTATAACTGAATCTGCACATCCGACTGCCATGTACTTCAATGATCAATCCACATTCGCTGTCGTGAACATTGCAAAATTTACCCTTTTACCATATTTTCCCTTTGTCTATGAATACTGCACAAATAGCAGTTTTTTTTTTTTTTCCGCAATGCATAAGAGGATAGATCAAACCCTATGCATGCCCTTCCCTCTGAAGCTAGACTTGATCCCTTAAACATAATTGAATAGCCAAGAAATAAGCAACAAATTTAAAGGCTAAGCTGACATAGCTTGATGGGATCAAATTAACCAATTTTCCATTTATCCAAAAAAATAGATTTAAGCTAACACACCTGATGTGATACAGAGAAAGAAAAGGACAAGAATATCGTTGAATGTTAGGAGAAAGAAAGAGGTTATGACAGCTGGCTTGTTATTGTAAAGATAAGGTTGGGGGGGGGGGGGGGGGAGTGCACATATTGTCTGTGTGAGATTTGCGTTTCTTCCTGAAGTATCACCAATAGTCTCCACAAGAGCATGAACCATCTTTAAAATGGTGGTATCTGTTGATGTCTCTCACAATAATTTCCCTGGAGACAATTTTACAAATGAATTTGAATGCGGTATGGCAATCAACGCAGACTCTAAGATTCTTTTTCACTCTAATTGGAGCTCCTGGCGGAGTGGCAATCAACCCAAAGGCTACTGCAAGTTTTTCACTGTGGTGGTATAGAAGCTTCTCCTTTTCACCACGTTCCACATCATGAAGATCAATCTCCACCTTGGGAACATAGCCAGCTTTGTTCAAACGGTCACTTAGCTCATCAAGCTTTGCATAGATTTCTTCACTCCTAACATGGCTTCTGTCTCCCACTACGAAAGTGTGTATCTGGTCTTTGACCTCAATCCAACTAATCCCAGGTTCTTTCTTCACGTTGCAGTCTTTCATTAGTCTTCTCATCTTTGCCACATTATCCCACATGCCAACTGATGCATATATGTTAGCTAGAAGAATATGGGTACCAGATTTCTCTGGTTCAAGTGTAAAAAGCATCTCTGCTGCATGTTGGCCAAGCTCAACATTCTTGTGGATTCTAGCAGCACCAAGAAGTGCCCCCCAAACTGAGGCATCAGCTTGAAAAGGTATCGTATTTATGAGTTGCATTGCCTCATCTAATCTCCCTGCTCGACCAAGGAGGTCAATCATGCAGGCGTAATGCTCTTGCATAGGTTCAAATCCAAACAACTCTCTCATTGATCCGAAGTATTTTTTGGCTTCAGTAACCAAACCAGCATGATTACAAGCACACAGGACGCTGACCAAAGTTATCTGATTGGGAGAAACACCATATTTAAGCATTTGATTAAATACCCGGAGGGCTTCTTTCCCATGCCCATGTTGAGCTAGTCCTCCTATCATTGCGGACCATGAGACTATTCCTCTCTCAGGAATCTTAGAGAACACACGTTCTGCATCATCTATGCTTCCACATTTGGCATACATGTTGACGAGAGAATTTCCAGCAAAAATATCAGACATAAATCCATATTTCAAGATGTGAACATGCACTTGCTTCCCTTGTTCATATGCTGATAAATTTGCACATGCATTTAGGAGTGAACTACAAACATATGGATCCGGCTCTATCCCTCTACCTAGCATTTCTAAATACAGCTTAAGAGCTTCTTCACCTTCTCCAGATTGAGAATAAGCTGTGATCATAGATGTGAAACCCACCAAATCAACAATTAAGCGCTCTTTGAATATTCTTTTTGCATCTTCTAGAAGGGCACATTTTCCATATGCATCGATAAGGCTGTTTACAACATAATTGTCAGACTCAAATCCTGATTTCACCGAGAGTGTATGAAATTGTTTGCAAACATTGTTCGCCTGCAAGCGAGCAATGGATTTGAGGACTGTTGATAAAGTTGACTGATTAAATCCTACTCCTTCCTTGTACATCAAAGGAAACAGTGATACAGCTTCCATATCTTCCCCATTTTGTGAATGCGCAGAGATAACAGCATTCCATGCAATCATGTCCTTGTCTGGCATCCAATTAAAAACCATTCTTGCATCATTCATCAAATCACTTTTGGAATACATATCAATAAGACCAACATCCACAAAAGGATCTGATCCTACATTTAGCTTTATCAAGTTACAGTGCAACTGTCTGCCCAATTCCTTGAGCCCCGTCTCAGCACAAGCTTTTAGCGCACTGGACAAGGTAAACATATTTGGATGTGTTCCAGACCTTCTTATTTGCCCAAAAAGCTCTAAAGCCCAATCATGGTTCTGATGAAGAACACAACCAGCGATGACAGCATTCCAAGAAACAATATCAGGTTTTGTAATCTCCTCAAAAACGGAAACAGCATCCTCAAGATTTCCTATCTTTGCATACATGTCCACAAGTGCATTCTTCGAGAAAGGATCTGAATTATAACCAAGCTTTATCAAGGACCCGTGAATTTTCCTTCCTTCACCACTATCCTCCAACCCTGTGCAAGCGTTTATCATGCTAGATAAACTAAATTCATTAGGTTTTATTCCATTTGAAACCATTTCATGAAACAACTCCACTGCTTCTCCAAAGTAGTCACTCTGCACATAACAAGAAAACAATGCATTCCATGAAACAACACTCCTTTCAGGTAAATCATCAAAAAGCCTCCTCGAATCACCAAATTCCCCGCATTTTGCGTACAAGACAACCAAGCTGTTACCTACATATTCATCACACTCGAAACCGGTAACCACCACGACTCCATGAACCTGTCTCCCTAACTCCAAATCCTTTGCAAAAGTACAAGCTTTTAGAACGCTTGGAAAAGTGAACTCGTTGCACTTAACACCCAACAAATGCATCTCATGAAAGGCTAAAATGGCTTCTTTACCAAACCCATTTTGGGCATACCCAGAAATCAAAGCAGACCAAGAAACCAAGTCCGGTTCAGGACTTTCATCAACCAGTTTCCTGGCATAGCCAAAAAGTTTACATTTTGCATACAAATTGGTCAGAAAGTTCCAACTTTTGCGGTCTTTGCTTGACCCAAATTTGATCATATGGGCATGGATTTGCATGCCTGGAGATAGGGTCTTGGTGGCATTGCATTTTGACAAGAGCTTAGAGTAGTATGGAACAGAGAAGGGTGTAAGATTTAGCTCTTCGTTTAAGCTTAAACAAGGGTAGGATTTTAAGTCGTGGGTTGATTTAGCTGAGGTTTGAAAATGTTGAGAAGAGAAAGTAAATGATTTAAAACGTGGGTAACGTCGTTGGAGAAGAGATTTTTGGAAATGGACGGAACTGAGGTAACGAATTTTCATGATCCATTTGTTCATTAACCTGCTTCTGGGTGGTCAAGACGTTATAAACTACGTTCAATTCCTTATGCGTAGTCGTTTTGTTATGAAACTCGGGAATTTTCTCAAACTAGCTAGAAGTAGATTTTTCACTTGAGCAATAACTTCAGCATGGATTTGTGATATTTAGGCCAGTGAAGCCATTAAATTTAGTTACCAAACCAGAAGTAAAAACATCATCATCATAATGAGAATGACATGATCTCAAACAAGATCTGACATTTTGAGCAGCACTTGAAAGCTAAATCCTTTGAATCAGAAAATGTTGATTGGTGAAATGGATAAATTCTAGGAGCATGCCATGCCATGCCTAACTCTCTTTGTTTGAGTTGTCCCTCACTCCTCGTTACTTGGATTTTTTCACTAGCAATACCATGGCTCTCTTTTCTTCTTTCTTCGCTCTATATATGAAAAAATTGTTCCACCAAACAACCCCAATTATTCCTCCATTCAAGTTTCAACAATAACTAATTTCAATTATATTACTCAGAAAGAGCTCTTTAATAAACTACTGTCTTCTAACTACTACCAACATTTCCAGTTTTTTGGGTATTATTACAGTATTGTGAGGTGAGAGACTGAACTTTAACAGAACATTTTCATCTTGTAAGAATTTCATCAAAACTGAAGATCAGACATCATTTTCAACATGAGCAATAACATAACTTGAAGGATTCCTTAATGCCATAGAATACAGTTACAGTATACAATATGATTTGGCTAAATTTGGGTAAAACCTTCCCTTTTGTTTCCTTCAAAGTTTTTGTTTTAAGAATACAAGGTTATAATTATTATAATAATTATATAATATGCTACTCAAATTCTAGTTCTAAGTAAATATTTACAGAGCGTGATGGCATGTGCAAGCATGACCCACATTACAACTTGCAAGAAGAAAATGAATCAGTTTATCTGTTTTCTCTCTTTGGTCTACCACCCAGCAAATCCCAGGAAACTGAAAACCAAACAAAATGCCATACGTTAGAACATTAGAATTGACAAACACAGAAATAATACTAATAACATTCAGAATTGCATGAACAAAATCTAATTCTGAAGAACAGTTAATGCTATGACAAATACTCAATATATAGTTGTACCAGCCGAAGCTTATAACAAGAAATTTTAATCCCAAAAGTTCTCAATTAAGAGAAATAAGCAGTCGCTGAAAGAGTATTGAGTTTAATCTCTTTTAAGAACAAAATTAAGGGGAAAGGACCCAAAAAGAAAAAGCTTAGCAGCAGAAGTAGTCTGACTGTGGACTAAGATACAAAGGAAAACTTTTTCTCTGAAGATTTCTTTTTCCCAGATCAGTTACTGTGAAATATATCTTACCCTGACCTCTGGCAACTTGAGACACAATACAACCCGAAGATATAATCTTTCAGGGATTTTTAGAAAAGACAGAGAACATCAGAAACAATCTTAATCCAATCAAATTGCAGAGGGAAATCAACGAAAAAAAAAAAGAGAAAAGAAAAGAGTTAGGAGTTGAGAATGATAGAAACCGTTAAAACATGAACGAACCTGAGAGAACGAAAGGCGAGGTGTTGAGAAAGAACATGGAAGAAGAAATTGGCTACGTGAAGGAACACCACAATTCCCATACACCCCAACACAAACAGCTCCACCATCATTCTCACTTCTCTCCAAACAAAACAGAACACGAAAAAACCCCTGACACGAAAAAGAAAGACTTTCTTTTCTATAGTATCTGTTAAACTCTTTAAATATAAGAAAAAGTGGAGCACCCCCTAATTGCTTATAATTGGACTTGTTCTTAAAGCGACCTATTTTAGGATTAATCAATAAATCATCATCATCTAATTACTAATAGTTATTATTAAATTATTATTTGATGGAGTTTTGGATGTCGAGTGTTTCGTATTCTTTCTTATGGATAACAGTATAGATTCCTCCATTAACTTTTCCTTTTTTAATACACCAAAACTAGACGTGATTGGGAGCTAAGACTCTTGCAAAGTCTTTTTTTTTTTTTAAACCCTATGATTTTTTGGCCACTAGATTTTTCTGTCTGCCAACTGCCATTTATTGGTTTCGTTTTTAGCCACAGCCTATGATTTTTTGGCCGCCACCAACCACTAACAAATGGTGTTGCTCTTCTGGGTTCTAGTTGGCGATTTTTTTTTTATCTTTTTTGGGGGTTTTGTTTTGCTCGTGGTTCTCTTTTATATTCTGAACAATGATCAATTCGATCAGGGTTAAAATATTGACTGATGAACTTGGCAAAGTCTTTTGTTTTAATATTGAACTTTCCAATAAGAAAATTATCAGGTCATGATCTCAATCGGTCCGTTGTTCTTATCTTGATTACAACACAGGGTGAAGCCAATGGCTCATATAAGCAAAAAGATTAAATTTAAAGATGCAATTAACGTCTCCTGATGAGGTTCTTGAAGAAATTACACATGATTAAGTTTGCGCTTAAGTTAATTCGTTTATTAGAAAGTGGGAGGTTTATAGTTACTGCACTGCAAGTGTATCGGCGCAGCTACACATCAAACCGACCCTTTTTTTTTGTTTGCATTAGTTTGTGTTTAGTTGCATCGACCTGATGTCACAACTCAACAAGCTGACCATGAATAGTATCTCCTGACGTTTTACTAGTTTTTCCACTATTTACATTTGACCTGTTGTTCATCTGGTAAGATGCCAGATTGCCAAAGCTGGAGATGCGTAGTGTTTTGGAGGAATTTTTGTTGATGGACCAATGTATCAGAAGTAGAAAGTAGAAACCCATGTTTTGTTTAATAGAAACTGATGTAGAAAAGAAATTACATTGATAGATGCATGATGAATTAAGGAGAGTGAATTACTTTAAGTATAATGAATTCAAAGCAAGCCAGTCAAGAATCTCTTTCCCAAGTTTTAGCCATTTAACGACAAGACAAAGGTCCCTAGGTTCTATGCCCTATACTAGGAATTGAACAAGGCAACAGGAAAAATGAATGTTTCTTGTTGTGTTAGCATATGATTATCGGACAAGGAATGGTGAAAAGGGGGCAGAAGAGCAAAATTTGGTTTACCCCATACAAGCATTCCAACAAGAAGCTAACTATATTTGAATTGTGAATCATCAGAAGAGAGAATTGCAGGATTTTCCCTTTGATCAATCCACTTACTGCTGGAACAAACAACACAGTATAAAAGGGCGACATGCTAGAAACTTGTGTTAAAGAGCTTTATCTTTCAATGTAAGAAGTATCTCATAAATTAAAGTTAAGCCATAAACTAGAAAGATCATTCTTACACCAGAAATAGTACAATTCTGGTTGAAAAGGACCTATAAAAGGATTGGGATCTTATCATGAAGCAATCAGGTGTTGCTTCAACATTCAGATTAGGCAAACCTTAGGTTGCCAAACATTATAAAATCATTAGAATCCTACCCAGAAATGGCTCCCACAAAGATTTTGGTAACTACATTATTTTTCATTTCACTTACTGGTTTTATTAGTCAATTAGAAGAGTTGACAACAACAGATCTTGGACAAAACCAGCTCTCCCTGTGGCTAGCTGAATCCTTTTTTCACGCTCTTCGTTGCTCAAAGAAGGATCAAAACTGCAAGAGAAAAAAGTAAAAATATGACGACAAATTAGAATTATATTTGACAGTTTCTATAAATAATTGATATATTAAAAGGTAAGAGATGCTTCATATCTCAACGTCAAAGGTTTTGAATTGGTTTTTCAACATAATCAAACGGATATGAATCCCTAACCTAACCCCTTACTTTGAAGTTTTAACCACACTGCATTCTCTCTAAGCAATGATTTTTGAATGCCCAATCAGACCATCAGACAAAAAGCTCAAGAACAATCCTAACATGAGTTTACTTTAATTCATACAACATGCAAAAAAAAAAAAAAAAACTCTTTTAAGAAAGAAAGAGTAAGACATTTAAAATGCACAAGTCCCCTCCAATATATGTCAAAAGAAACACTGAAAGTATTCCATTTTGAAATAAAGAGAAATTTTCATCAAGTTTTCTTGGCCTGTAAAAGAGTTCTTAAAGGGCATCAGACTATACTCTGAATAGATGATGGAGGAACATTTTGAAATGGATATCAGCATAAATATAATTGAATCATTGAAGATGACGAAAACAAGTAAGAGTGGTGTGATTTATAAAAAGAAAGGAGGAACGAGAATTATTAGTGACTATAGTGACGGGTCCAAACTTGAAGCAAACTTTCTTTTTTTTTTACCTAACAAAAAACAGAGATTTTTTCAAGAGTTCAAGGCAGTCCACAACTCATACAGCAGCAAAAGTTATACCAAAGCTGCATTAGACATTATTTCCACTAGGTAAAAGGGGACTCCTTCAATTGGTTATTAGATTTGCATCAAAGTTGCAAACTCAAACATATACATCTTAACTAAAAGTTTAAAGGACTAGGAAAACGTTACAACATTATTGAATATGTTCTACTGTAGAATATATCTGAATCATTACCTTGATTTCCACATATGAGTTTGTACCACATTTTTTGCAGCAGTGTCTTCAGCACTAGTTACAACAGATTTAGAAATTTCTTCTGCTTCAGATGCAGTGAAATTCAAAATGAGTGAAGAAAGCAATGAATCACTAGCTGCATTAGACACATTAGCACTGCTTGATCTATATGCCCCACCCCCTAGAAGTACTTGCAGATGAGCTTCACGGAGATCCCGACCCAAAAGAGACAGTGCCTGACTGTTAGGAATTGCAACTCTACGTAACCTGCGATGTCTCTGCAAGTAATCTTTTGTTAAGGGAAACTGGCCTAACAATTCAACTTTTTCCGAGTAAATACAGAATCAAATACACCCATAATTTCCAAGTCATATGAAGAGAAAGATAAGGTAATAAGAAGTTCAATTATTAAGGATATCTTGAATAAATGTCCATGTTGCAGCATGATATGACTTAGCATGTCTCTTGCAACTTTGACAGAGCAAACTGGACAAATCTGCGACAGAAAGGTTGATGCAGTATAAGACTCTTTCATCATGAAAAAATCAATTGAAACTTTTTTCTACCATAAATCCTAAGGTTAAGTATAACAAGTAAGAGTAATAAACATGACTTTACTAGTTATTTTTTGTTCCTCGATATAATTATTTTGCATTTACACAATTTTGGACACAAAAATTACAGAAGATATTCACATAAGCAGGATTGAAGAATGGAATCCCAGTAAAAAATCTCTCAATTACAATGATAAGGCAAAAACTAAGAAATATGGTAAGACTTGTATGAGGTGCTAGTTGATAAAATCTTTTGGTGGTTGTACCATGGACCTGACCTTGAATTCTCCTATAGACCAAAAAAGAAAGGGTGAGACTAGCTTTCAGACCTAGGAAGTGATTAGCATCCAAATCTACCTCCATCATCCATGGCATAGACCAAATGCTCATTCCTCCACCATTACCAATAGCACATACTAAATGCTCATTCTCAAGCATGGCATTCTCTACCTGTCACACCTATTGCCCCTTTGCAAGTATGTCCACTTCCAACCTTTATCTGTTGAATATAGCATTCTTTTCCCAGCATGAAGATAACATCGCCAATCGTGCTCAAGCCTCCATATAAGTAGCAGTTATTCTTATCAAATTCCAACATAAGTTTCTGCTGCCTAAATGACCAATGATTATCTTATACAAGGCCTCAAGTTAAATGTATAAAGTGTGTAAGCAGATGCTATATTAAAACACCAGTTAAATTGAATATTTTAGTTTCATTTCTTCCCCTACCCAATAAAAACTGCATAAAGATTGAACACATTCTAAGGTTTTGTCTGATAAAGCAACTAAACTGCATAAAGATTGAACACATGCTAAGGTTTTGACTGATAAAGCAACTATCTCATTTTGATTGCCAAAGAGTCACTATGGTTGTCTAGTAACAGATAGAAGCAAGTCCACTTGATAGCAGAATAGTGGTCATTATCATAGGCACCAAAACTATACCTACTACTTTCCCCCAATTAAGCAATAACAAGAAAGGACCTCTCAATCCCAATCATCTTACAATTCAGGCACCTTTAACCCTATGGAAAGTGTATAGAGCTAAAGCAATCGAAATTTCTATTCTTCCAAATCAAGTGTCCAATATAATAACCAAACCTTCAAAACCACAAAACAAGAATGGATCCTAAAATTATTATCAAGCATCTTGGAATCATTATAAAAAACAACTTTATCATTAATATTATCATGCCCCCATGTTCTAAAATGAGCAGTGTGTGATATTCTCATCATATTCAGGAAGCATCAATCACTCTCCAAAATTTAATTCAACAAAAATGGCCTGATCATCACTTTGTAATTTTATTCAGCAAAACAATAGAAGGAAAAAGGAGACCAAAAGAAAAAATAAAATCCTTGAATGAAGCTTACTCAGATAGTCACACAATTGCCTAACAAGAAAAGAACCATAGCAGCAACTCCGCTAGGTTCCACACAATTTGAGATATTCTACTGCCTGGTCGGAGCTACTGTTATTTAATTATTATTCCTTCTGAACGTGCAAACAGATGCCCTATAGAAAACCAAGTAACAAAATTCATTCGTTTTTCTGCCTAAACCAACAAAGTAAGATCCTTTCTCCAGCACTTCTTCAGTGATATAAATGAAAAGGAAAAAAGAAAGCGAAATTATCAACCATAAATAGAAATAATTCTTCTGTTTTACTCCCCTTCTATAAAAGGAAAATTCAAAATTTTTCATGAAAAAAACACCAATAAACCAAAAAAAAAAGGCTACTACTAAGCTTGCCTGAATTAGAAAGAAAACGTCAAACTTTCAAGAATAACCTCGGACTATATCATACATAACCTAAACCAGAAACAGAAAGGTCTTCAGTCTCTATCCGTTAAACCCCCCAAAAAAAATCTTTTTTTTCTTAATAATAGAACTTGCTTACCGTAACCTTAGACTCGCAAGGATGCTCATCTTCGAGATGCGAACACAGAGACGCAATATCGAAATCCTCGTAACAGTATGGACATGGGAAATCGGGTCGTACCTCGTCCTCTACCTCAAAGTCATCGATGCTCAAACGATCTTTATTTATTTATTGTTTAAATTTGAATACAGGAGCACCAACATAAAAAAATTATGAGATAAAAAGAAAAAAACCCAGATCAAATACTAAAAAATAAAATAAAAACGAACCCAAATGAGAACTCTGATGATGGTTCTGCAAATTATATTGGCGTTTGGCAGCTGCAAGACGAGATGTCCAGAAATCGGAATCCATTGAAAGACCAAAGCTTGAGCTTGGCTATATATTAATAATATATGATATTTAAAACAAAGAAAACTATATGAACATCTGCTGAAGGTATGGTTTTCTTTTATCTTCAAACTTTATATGTTTCTGGGTTTTCTTTGACTTTGTCGCTGAGAAACCTTTGGCTTTGGTTTCAACCTTAAAGAGAAAAACAGAAAGAGAGATAAGATAAGTTATTGTTCATTAATAATTGATGATCCATGGTTTTATGATTAAAAAATTGTCTCTCTTTTCACTGTAAAATAAAAACTCTTAAAAATAACGATTGAATTGAGAGGCGGTGCGAGTAAAGACTACGGAGACTACTGGACAAGGGATGACGTAGAGTAAATGTCGGGTTTTTCTCCTCGTTTTTTACTCATGTTCCTGTTTTTTTCTTTGCTTTTTTTTTTTTAAAATTTATTTTATACTACATTTTTTTCCTCCTTTTTCAGTAACTAGTGGTCTAAATTTACCGCCTTTTTCTTTTTCAATATATATATATATTAAGCGAGAAAAACAATAGGTTAGGGGAGAGACTTGCGCATAAAGTTATGGGTTGTTTGCATGTAGTTACATACGTAAAAAAAAAAAAAAGATTACATCTTATATTCTTATATATTTCTTATGATTAAATTTGCTTTTTTTTTTGTAATTTTTAAATTTCGTGACAGCCGGGCACTGTATTTATATATTAGATAATGGCACATCCACACGTCAGTGAAGGAAAACATATTAAAAAAATTAAAAAAAAAAGTGAGAAAAATAAGCGAAAGATAGACGAAGTTACATAACGACTGGATAGTTTTTTTTAATTGAATATGCGAATAATTAAAAAAATAAAATTTATTAAAAATGACATTTACATTGATTATTTTAAAGTGAATTGATGTTTTTGACACATCAAATTCAGTCAGATCTTTTATCAATATCGATAATCATTAATTAAACTTCTACATATATGAAAATTTGATAATAAATAATATGAGATAGAAAGAATAACAACTTGTTTTTAAAATCATTCATTTTAACTTTAATTATTGAACGTCTTCATTGGGGGCTTTGTTAAAAGCTTACAAATTGGTATATAAGTCGTTGAATCCTACTGCTAATCCAATGAGAAGCAGTTAATGAAGATAGACTACCATATAATTCCATTTATAATGACTTTTTCATCAATATTGATAATGACTTTTTAACAAACCCACTCTTTAAACAGCATTAATTGAAGTTGTTTTATGCTCCTTAAACAGTAATTTTCAAGTTTCATCCACCCATATGAACTTTAAACATAAGGTTTTTCAATATCAGTTTAAACATTTTTGGTTTTTTAAAACAATAGAAAGTTCATTTTAAAAGTGAGCATTGAACATGTTATGGATGGAAAGAGGAGGCACCCTGACAAATTAAAGAAAAGCATTTTCCTTAATCATAAGATTATAACAAGAATTAATTAATGTCCATAACTTATTACAAGAGACATTACTACTTAGTATTATCCAAAATTAAGAATGCACTTGTTCAATGTATGTCCGAAAGTGATGAAAAGTTTTAGTATATAACAACTGTTCAAGACTGCAAGACTAGCCCCTGGAGGAAAAGATTGGCTTCAATTTTTCATGAGTAAAAAATGCAAACGGCACCGTTTAACAGCAGTTCCATTTTAATGAGAGGACCATAAGAATGCTTCAATTTCTGTTCTAGGGCTTGCCCATTTCTATTCTCCTGCAAGAAAAACGCAACAAACTCCGACAAGGAGAAGAGGTTATATAACTTTGGAATCAATGGCGACGACAGGGCAGCCAAAGCAACAGGGACAAGAACAGAAGAAAACAGCAGAGAAGAGAAAGCCTGTGTTTGTGAAAGTGGATCAGCTAAAACCAGGGACCAATGGCCACACCTTAATCGCCAACGTCTTGTCCTTTAACATGGTCCTTCAAAAGGGTCGAGCTGCTTTTCAACATCACCGCCAAACCCGCATCGCTGAGTGCCTTCTTGGAGACGAGACCGGCACTATCCTCTTCACCGCTCGTAATGATCAAGGTCCATTTTTTAACTTTTTTTTTTTGTTTCTTAAAAAGTTTCATGCTTTACTGATCTGATCTTAATTTCTCTCAAAAGGGTACATTTTCTTTCATCCTTGATGCCCAAAGCTTCGATCTTTCTTTTCTTTTTTTTTTTTTGGCCTGTTTTAAAGATGAAATATAGTGGCATTTTGAAATCTTTTTCTTTTTTCTTTGTTTTGTTATTGCAAGTGTGAATTTGATATAATCTAGTATCTTAGATGTCAATTAAGGGGTTTGATTGCAAATTGAGTTTCTTGATTTATCCTTGATTGGTAAGATAAACCTCTAGCAAAGTGAATTAATTTCTTATTCTATTAATGTGTTGTGATTGAATCGATTTGCCATTGTGTTGAATTTTATTTATTTTATTTCTCAATTTGGAAAGTTATGAAAACCCTCAAATATATATGGTAAATCAATTAAGAACCTACTTATTGGTGCAATTGCCGTTCATATCCTTAATTTATTAATCATAGTTAATATCGGTGGCTCGTCTGTGAGATTGTCATCTGTTCACAGCTGCAAAAATTATGAACTCATTTTTATTTTGGTTTTTGGGTTTCTAGAGGTTACACGTCTGACAACATTTGAAACTACATAGTTTTTACATATTGATGTCTTGGGTGCATATATTGGGTTTTCTATTTTGTTTTTGCATAAACAAATTATTGAGAGAAAGACACTTCAACCTGATCAATTTTCATGGGGTGGTGGGTTAAGACAACTGTGGACCTGCTGAAAATGCTATTCTAAACCCCATGCAGTTCGATGATGATGTTACTTGAATCATTTTGCAGTTGACTTGATGAAGCCAGGTAACACTGTAATTCTTCGTAATGCAAAGATCGATATGTTTAAGGGTTCTATGAGGTTGGCTGTTGACAAGTGGGGCCGCATTGAGGTCACTGATCCTGCTAAGTTTGCTGTTAAAGAAGATAACAATCTATCTCTTGTCGAGTATGAGTTGGTTAATATAGTTGAAGAATGATAGAGACTGTATGGACCTCAGTGATTAGCTACTGAAGGAGTTCTTATGAAGTGGCCTCATTATTCTTGTTTACTCTTCATGATGTTGGTGAGATGCTATTACGGTACAGTTTTCATTGTGAGTGTTGGGTTTGGTATACAAATCTTGCTGATGGTTGGTCTTTCTGCTTTATCTTAATACTTTTAACATCTAATAGTTTAGTTTAGTACTAGTTGAGTTTGTAGAAGACTGTTTCTTTCTCGTGATCAAATTGCATCTGGATATTTAAGTGTTGATAGTAAAATCCTTCTATATTGAGTTTTTAGTTCTTTGTTGCTCTAAATACTTTATTATGTCTCGGTTGTCCTTCAAAATATTAGCTTCAAAGTGATGTCAAACTTAATGACATTAAGTTGAAAGATACCCTTGCAAGTTTTTCAGTTCTTAAATGTCCATACATGATGCGTAACTTTTGCATTCTGGCTTTATTTGAGTGGTGAAATTGACGAGGCTGAACAATCAGGACCTGTACTCTGAGATCATTGCTATATATATGCCATATATATTGAGATGTTCTCAGTTTATGGTTGACAGTGAAATTATCCAAAGAAGCAAAGTTCAGATCAATTTTGGGAAGGGAAATTACTTTCAATATATGTATGGAAGATTCATTTGATTGATGTGGTAAGAGGCCACAACGGTTCAGATTGGACTCCAAAAGGGTTGATGTGAGCCCTCTTTAAGCTTATGTGTAGTGTTATAATAAAACCACAGCAATTATCTGACTTAACATCATCTCTGTAGAGGGCATTGCACTGGCTTTACCAGAGTTTTGGCTGTAAGAGACATTGTAAAAGCCGGATAAGAGAGTTGAGAAGAGATGATTGAGGTTAGCCCCGTAGGTGCTATTCGTGGTATCGTATACGGATTTGAAGCAGATTTTTTTACTGAAACAGATGAGAGCAAATAAGTTGGTGACCCTTGAAGAAGCCCTTGCTTTCTAGAACGAAGAGCAAAATCCAAACACCGTCTTCCTTTCAGATTACGAATCTTGATTCCATATATCCAAATATATTTATTAATTCTAATACGCGTCAGTGGCAATGCTTGGACGGTTCTCTGCGAAGACTTTGTAAGTCTGGTTATCAAAAAAATAATCTACTTGGATGAAAGCTGAGAGGTTTCTTTTTTATTTTATCAGCTGCATTAAACATGGCGGGCTAGCAGCCTGGACTTTGGTCATCGGGGGGCCGCACCCGTGGACTTTGACTACTGACCCGTCCATATTAGTTTAACTCATAGCTTCCCTAAGGGGTCCATGGAACAGGACAAATTATTAACACTGTGTTTGGGTGTGCTTGGATTGAGGGGAGAGAAAAAAAAGAAAAGTAAAGTAAAGAAAAATAAAGAAAACAAAATTCATTTTTTTTTGTTTGGATAAATATTTAATTTAAATAAAAGAAAAGAGGTGAAAAATTAAATAATTTTTGGTTTTTTTTATAAACTCAATTTTTTTAATACTCTAATTTGAAGGAAAAGTAAGGGAAAGTAAGGGAAAAGAAAGTTGAAAAAAAATTTTTATAAAAAGATTATTATGTTCATCTTTTTATTAATATTAAAAATTAAATAAAAAAATTACTAAAAACTAAATAAAAAAATCTAAGCAGATCACAATCATCTTGTAATTTTTTCAAAGTCATCTTTTTTTTTAAGTAAGTTTTGTATATATCTTTCAATATAAAAATTTTTTATAATTTTTTGGTGATTTGATTTTGATGAATGGTTGAATATAAATAGATATATTTTTTGAATTTATGATATGTCAGGTTAGTTCAAAATTCATCAATGCATATTTGTAAAACATCTTCCTGTTTCACTTGATTAAAAACTATTGATATAGTAGCAATTGTGAAATCAGAGAAGATAGCAAACATATTATGGTCTAAAAATGCTCTAAAATCATAGGTAATGAAATGTTATAATTGAAAAAAATTATTATAATGAATCATTTCATTTCTTTTCACTCTTTATCCAAACAATGATTATTCGAATTTTTTTCATTTTTTTTTCTTTATTAATTTTAATTATTCAAATAAGGATTACATATATCATTTTCTTTCTTTTAAAAAACTCTTTTCCTTTTTTTTTCTTTTTTTTTTTATTAATATTTATTCAAATATAGCTTAAGATGATTTTTTGCCGAGCAAGAACATACTTAATAAGATGCCTTTAGTTTTTCAAGTACTTGCTTGAAATTGATGTCAAACTTAATGACCTAAAATGAAAGTATCATCAATCTTCCATTTATCAAATGTCCACTCCAAAAAAAAAAAAAAAAACTAGTGGTACTAAACTGTAAAATACAGGCGACATAATAACAAGAAATCAGATCAAACATCTGATAGCTAACTAACTTCAAAATACAAAGTATTGCAAAATCATTAGTGGAACAACTGTAACCAGAACTTGAAATCCGCTGTTCATGTTACCTGCAAAAAATCCAGAAATGTACTTATTTGATTGATGGTTGGTCAAGAAAGTGGGAACCAGAATCCCCATCAGTGGCAAATCCACAATATGACATTTTAATAATCAATCTTCAGAAAGAGAAAATTGAGGATAAGAATCAAATTGAAATGTAAAATAAATGATCAATTATGGCCATAATTTACTACTACGGTTGTTCATCTTTTAGATTAGTTTGTAACTGAATTCTCAACTTGTTAAATCCTCGCTCAATTACTGACTTGATATAGTAATACAGATAAACAAAGAAAAATAAAACGTAAAGCATTAAAAGTTCGGTAAGTAATCTAAAGAGAGAGATTCACCTTCTCCGATCTCAATATAAGGTTGCTGCGGGGGAGCCAATGCCACTGGGGGTGAGGGTGAGGGTGACGGTGACGTTGACGGTGAAGGTGATAGTGACGGTGCATCAACTGGAGGTGATACTGGCGCGTCAGCAGCAACCGGCGGTAGTGGCAAAACAGGCAAACGGTCAAAAAAGATACCTTTATCATACCTAACATTAGAGCTTGGTGTGAAAACTCTGGCTCCTAGCCTCCCACTACAAAACTTTGAGAGTACGTCCGTGGCATTACTTAGGCAATCCTTACAGTCCACCAGCGACAAATCAGGAGTGCACTGGGCCAGTGCATATATAATCTCCGAATTGGAAACAGTAGCATTTCCTGTTGCAAACTTGAGAAGGGAATCGCCAGAGGCCGTTTGAGTTATAAGGTCATCCAACAAGGTTGACAAAACCTGATCGAATTGACTTACGTTGGTGGCAATGTTGTCATCCCTCAGCGCACAATAAGGTTCGAATGCCATTTTGCCAAATATGGAACCATCTGAGTACCTTAACATACACTTACCGTACCAAACAATGGCTGTCCTACTGTTATTGCAGGTGAACTCGTTTGTTGCATGCTTAATGCAATTACGGCAACTATCTGGCTTAAGATCTCCTCTACACTGACCTATAGCATTAACCTTATCAGAGTCTTGGCATAAGAGACGTTATAAAACCCATATTCTATTTCAGTGTCGGTGGTAATGGTGGAAAAGAGATGATTGCGGTTATTGTCGTAGGTGTTATTGTCCGAACAGAGCTGAAACAGCTTTGCCGACTGAACAAATGTGAGAGCACATAGTTGGATGGAAATGAGAAAGGAGAAGAATTGTATAGAGTCCATTGCTACCGTCTCAACTTTTCTGCTAAGCAATCGAAAGAGTTTTATAGTCTTTTAAATTGAGAATGAGATTTTCTCACTCTAAGGTTCCCTCTATAAATTCTATATTTCAATGCTAGTTTGGATCCCAATAAAATTCTATTGATTGAGAAGTACTTGTTTGTTAAGTATATTTAAAGCATAACTATGCTTAGTTAATAGATAAGAGTTCTTAATGAATAATAATACTTGTTGATTAAATTATAAAATTCTATAAATATAAAGTGACTCTTAAATCATTGAAAATATGAGAGATTATCTCAACGTGAGGATGAGTTTTATGAGAGGAAAGTAGTGATAGCAACGGGTCGGGTCGAGACGGATTTTTGCTCGCCCTGAACAAGACCCGATTTTAAATATACAATATATGAATTCGTACCCGACCCGATAATTTTTTCAATCTTAATACCCGAACCGGATATTGTATAAAATTAAATCCGACCCGATCCGATCCGAATTAATAAAATATTATTTTAAATATAAATATAAATATAAATATATATAAAAGTATATATAATTAAATATATAATTAAAAAAATAATTTTTTTATATATATCAGGTCGGGTAGGGTCGGGTTTGCTTAAAACCCGATTCCGATCCGAACCCAAAAATTTTTTTTACTCTATCCGACCCAATACCTGATTTTTAAAAAAAAAAATCGACCCTAAGAGATCGGATCGGATTGAAACCCGACGGATTCGGGTGATTTTACCCTCCCTAGAGGAAAGTTATTCCATGAGTTTGTTGTGATAAAAAAAAAAAAACTAAATTGTATTTAATAGGTTTATAGTAACCTAGAAATTACACACGATAAAGGTGTTTCATGGAATTTTTTTTATATTGTCGGTGAGAAAGATTGACCGTATGAAAGGTACAACCTAAGGCTACCAGCTCACCCTCTATTGATCTTTACTACTGACCCAATGCTCTGCATGATACATTACCTCTGTGTTTTAAGACAAAGTTAATTTTTACAGGAAAATAACAATTTTAATTTCTACCACTACAGTTTCAGAAAACAGATTGGTTAGTGTTGATCTGTTGCATTAGGAATTCTAATTTTTCTTTTTTAAGTAAACTTTATTTGAAAAGAGAAACTTCATTGGTGAGGAAAAAGAAAACATATACGACTATATCAGCCGGAGTTATGGAACTTTTACATAGTCATGTTTTTCATGGTAGTGACTGCGGACTGAGAATGGCGGATAGCTGCAAAATAACACTAGATTTGAATCAATCCGACTTCATCCCATGCAGTCCACAAAAAAATTTAATCTGAAACTCCCAAAAAAAATTTAATCTGAAACTCCCATTATAAAAGAGAAAGATAATGTTTTATTATACCAGATGACCCAATAGGCTCAGAGCCTGTGGGACAATTACTCAAGAAAAGCCAGATTACATGCATGTCTAAAGCTTGCTATCCATGGCAACCACTATGATAAGCCACAAAGGAAATGCAGAACTTTTCAATTTATTGAGGGGAAAAAGCAGGAAGCAGAAATTAAACCTGGTGATAACTGGTATTAGACTTATCAGAATAAAAAAAGATCTGTCCCTTCTGATACCTACTTCCAGATTCTCACAGAACAAATGTTGTATAAAATTGGATTTTCACATTCAACCAAGGAGAATAAATGCATCAAGTCCTACAAAGTTCGGTTGAATTTTTCATGGAGATGAACATTTCACCGCATCCCAACCACAATCATCCATCTACAATACAAGAAAATGGGTGCATGGTATTAGAAACACGTAACGATTTTATCCAAACAAAACAACATCAACAATATTAAGCTTTATTCTCATTTTGACTGGATTTTGTTAAAGGGTCAAATCACATATCTATTATCAACACACAAATTGATAGAATTAGAACAGAGAGAATACAACTACAACCTATTAAGGCATACTCCACAAGTATGCTGATCATAAACCCGAATCAAAATAGCCCAAGTTATAAGAAAATGGACATGACCAATGGAAGCAGAAGATAGCAGACTAGGAAGGTTATAGGTTCAAAACCTAGGATTCAGAACAGGACAAGGGTGGAAGCATATGTCATTCCAAAAACTTCAATATCCTGGAAATAAAAATTCCTCGGGAAACTACAAAATATCAACATGAGCATGAAATTTAATTTTTCGGAGACAAAATTTCCCATGAATACTGTTTCTTCCCTTACACCCCCGCATCTTAAGAGTAGTTCAAATTAAAAGTAACAAACATTAGTAAAAATAACAAAACATCATCATCATATCCTATGTTTCAATTACAAAACCTTCAAGGGCACCTGTCTATTATTTAATTCCTTCCATTTTGTTGACTAATAAAATGTTACTCATCACCTTGTTAAATTTATGAACAGGGAAAAAGCATCTAAAGACCCTACTACAAAGCTTTATACCACCACCTTGCCTTAGAGAGCATTTATCAAAAACTTTGCCCGAACTCTCCGACATTCATCATACATCATCTTTGCAATCTGAGTGAAACAACAAATCATTATTGGTCTTATATCCTTATATTGGCATGAATATGAAAGTAAAGAAGGTTTAGTTCATGTTAAGTTGGAACACTTATTAACAGCCAAATAACAATCTCACCTCTCAATGCACAAGCAAAACCCTTATCAACTGAGAAAAAGTGTCGATTTCATGCATTTATTCTTTTTACAATTACAACTAAATTGCATCATTGAGAGCCTTTTACCCTTTCCCATCCATAAAGCATGTAAACGATTAAGCAAGTCTAAACATTCAAAAAACAAACAAACACAACGACAAACTACATAACTTGGTTCTACTTTTCAGAAGTTTAAAACTAATTTCAGGACAATTAGCTAACTTATTTAAAAAATATTTGAACAAGATTTCATCTGTCATCTCTAAAACCGTGAAATTACAAGACATAGCATTCAACCTCTTGCTTTTTACAGTAAGTCAGAAAGATGATCTCCTCAACTAAAGCACTGAAGATAAATTCAGTAGCAGTTCCAAAAAATTTAACAATGAAAAACTAATACAAGCCACTCCCTCTCTGTGCTTGTCCTTCATCTAGTCTTGTCTTTCCTTACAAAAGGATAAAAGAATTTACATTCTTTCATTTATTTACAAGACAGAGGAGCGATGATTACCTATCCAAAAAGGAGTTTGAACAGGGAGTAAAATACAAAACACTTGGCTATTACTTTTTGAGTGGTTGATGGCTTGATGCTCATCTACAAAACTTCTTGTGGGCCAGTTATGCTTAGCAGAGACAGCCTACTTTCCCTCATAAATTCTAGCTTCTAATACATCTTTAGGAGTATATCTTTGTCCTTCTTGGTATTTAATTGCCAACATCTTTTCTGGTTACAAGACATGTAATAAAGAACGAACATAAGCTTATCATTTGGTAAACCCATAAAGTTTATGTTTTAGGAACCATAAAAAAATTGAATTTTCGCACATGAATTGACACCCTTTTAATTGTAAGGATCAAATATGGTTTTCTTTGATTGTGGTTCAGTAACTCAGGCCCAAATACTTCCCAGTAGGAACCATGCCTCGATGAAGCATTCAGTATATCTCACTTAATTCAACTTTCATTGAATCATTAAAAAAGCAAACTTTCTACGCATTTAGAAGTTAGAAACTTTGAATGCTTGAAAACCCAATAAATGAAACAGATCAAGATGGAAAAAGAGTGGATAGAAATACCTTCAGGGTTCCAACCGAAGCTCCGGTGAGAGCCGAAAAGCATCGAAGTCAGCAAAGCCGACGCCGTAGCTGTGTGATACGGCAGCATCGTTTCCACACAGCAGCTCAGCTCCACCGGTGACCTTTTTCAAATTAATTCAAAACTATAAATTGGTATCATTAGTTTATCTCCTAAACAACTAAGACAGAGGGATTAATATCCTTTACCTGAAAATGCGAGAAGAGAGCGGGTTTTGCTTTGAGATCCGAATGGGAGAGCAAGCCGGTCGCGGCATGGGCTTGGGTGCAGCGGCAAGCCTGGTGGCCGCGGTAACTCGGGAAGCGGCGGAGCGGAGGACGGATCTGGCAGCGGACATTTTTGGTGGTGGAGATTTTGAAGGGTTTTGTGTTTTTGGGTGCGGGGGTTTTAGGCTTTCGAGGGGGTTTTGCATTTAGCAGTGGTGTTTTCTGTGTATATACTCGTATGGTAAAGCCATTGGTTCTTGGACATCTATCCTGACACGTGGACCTCTATCTTACCTGGCATATTTTTCCAGCCTTTAGCCCTTGATTGTTGATTATTTATTTTTTTGGTAATACCATTATCGTGGGAAATTCTGTTAATGTACACATATACTACTTTTTTCTTTTTTTTTTTGTTTTTCAATTTAGTCCTTGTATTGTGATATGTATAATTATATGTGTATATAATCTTTCTCGTTTTCAGAATACTTGAGTCCAACGCCATTAATTCACTGTAACAATTTATTTGGCTTTAATATACCTTAGAACCAAGGCATGAATAATGAAAACCCCATAATCAAAATTCCTAGAAAGGGAAAAAAGGAAGTTGATAATGCTGTGTGATAAAAAAAAAGTCCCATAAAAGTAACATTGCCAATGTTACAATTAATGGCTGATTTCTGAATACACGGACAGCAGAAAAGAATTTGGTAGAGGTCAACGAAAGTTTTATTCTCTTTTGTATGCCAGGCCACATGCCATTGAAGAAAATTAAATGGCTTCTTCAATACCCTCAATTCTCAAACATCCAATGTCTTTGACTTGCTCCTGTTTCTGCTGATCTTGACTAGAGCACCAAGTATCAGAGGAATGCATATTCCCTGAGTCATATCTGCGCTGTGTCCTCTCGAGACATCCTTGCGGGCACCTGATACAGCTAGCCCATTGCTTTGCTCAGTACGCATTGTGTTTTGCAAGTACACTGATCCCCTGTCGTGTTGTCTAAATCCGATTAGCTTCCCTAGAGAAACGCTGTTATCTTGGAAAAATGATGCTGAGGACTGCCCGAATCGCGCAACGGAAGAAACAATTTTAGAAAATATATTAAATACAAGTACTTTTGGTTGATGCATGAATTATAACTTTTGTCTGCTCAGTGTGGAGAACAAGCTGATGAGACTTATTGACATGAATGTATAAAGAATAACTGGTGAAAATGGAGAAAGAAAAGGTTGCTTGGAATTACCTCGGTGTCAAGGTTGGAGGAGGAGAATGAGGAAAAACTGCTTGATGGGATGTGCAAAGAGTATGGTCCAACCACCGGAGCTGCAGCCTGTAATCTTTCTTGCAACCGAAGTCTCATGTTCATTATCTGTAGCCCAAGTGGCCAGCCATTGGACGTCTCATGATTCTGGGAAGAGTCATCAATTAAAAATATAACAGTGAAATGTCTCAAAATATAGCAAATCATAACTTTGCTAATGTTGATAGTAACTGATTAGCAGCTCAGAATCTTTAGTCAAACAAATCAATTTCAAAAGAAAACATGAATAAACAAGTTATTGAACTTAATGCAATTTTGATTCTCATCGGCGATATTTGAGTTTTTGTGAAAATGAGGAAATGCCTTTACTGGCAGTGGATAACATAGGAAGAGATTGAATAAAGAAGTTTGGCAAAAACATGTGGGGATGGCAAGATTGGCAGGTAAGCCATTAGCATAAGCTAAAACTCAAGTCTTTGACATTTTGCTGCCTAATTCCTTATCACAAATAATGTGAGTTCCAACTTCAACCACAAGCCAAAAGCCCAAAACTGTAGTGAATTTCCCGTTTCCTATATGTCATAGAAGAGATTGCAATCCATTCTGATGAAACAGAAGCATCGACATTACTTAGGATTTTAACTTTCTAATGAAACTTACTAGTTAAGATCCGATGAGGATTTCTCACTGGTTTTATCTTACTAATAATGACAAAGTCCGGAGTGATCCAACAGCACCACTCTCCCTGTTTAGACTACATCTGTTGTGTAAGAATATCAGAAACCATGAATTGCTTTTGATGACAAACTTCTAGCTCTCTACTTTCATTTATTTATTTATTTATTTATTTTTTTGTCTTCTCTTTTGGGAGACTGTCGGTGGGATCACAGATCAGTAATTTTCTAGTGCTAACCAGAGAAAGCTAATGATATGAAGTCCTGATTGAAATTCTCTTTAAGCCTAAATGTGGCTTTCTCTAATATTGAAATCAAATACCACCCATGAATCATGATGGGGAAAAAAGTCCTGAAAACACTTTAGTCTCTCCAAACAAAGTACTCAAAAAGGCTTCAGAGTTAGAATTCTTCTGTCCCTCTCTTTATAAAAAGCAAAAGTTGAACTCCCCACTAAGCCATTTATCATAGTTACTATTACTGCAACACCGGTAACATTCAGCATAACCAGGGGCCAGAATCATTCAGTTTCTATTTCCAACCACAAAAGAAATATATAAGAAACCAAGAAAACAAGGAAAAGAAAGGAATATCAGATAAGCTAAAGTAACAAAAACCCAGAAACTGACTCCTAATTGCGAGAAGATCAAAACAATCAGAAAACAAATTCATGAAACTTTCCATATGCACGACAAAAACAAGACTGATTATTACCTCAGCAGCCATGGCTTGAGCTCCTATAGCAAGACGCATATGAACTACAATGAGCAGTGAATAAATGAATATGATGATCACAAAATGTTATTCACTGGAAAACAAATTCCCTGTAAACTGCTTAAGTATAAGAAATTGTTTAATGGAGAGGGTCAGCTGGGAGATTCTTCCTTAAACAAGGAACAATTAATGGGATGGGTCCCGGGGAAGGGTGTTCAGCTTTGTCAATCACATGAGAGAGAAGATGTATAAATTCAATTTTACACTCATTCACTATCTCAACGTCAGATAATCACTACTTTTCAGACACTAAAACAACAGGTTAACGCCATATTTCAAAGATCTCATCTAGGCCTTTGGACCAGCTATGAGATATTAATTGAATTGGTTGTAAATTCTTTCAAAGAAAGACAAAACCAACGGCTGATAATGCTCACAAGCCGCCGTCCCAAGATGATAAATTTTAAATTAATCACAAAAAGGATATTTTTAATTGATATTAATACTAATAATTTCTTAACTACATAATTTTTAAAAAATTATAATTATAATTGAGTAATATATTCATATAATTAATTATTGTATCATAATTAAATTATTAAATAATTAGTTAATAAATTATAACATAATTAAACAGTCAAATCTATATAATAAAATTTAAATCTAAAGTCTAAACTCTTTTTTAACTAAATTAAGATTTCATTCTATATGTCTAATTTGTTAAATTAATTTAAAAAAGCAAAAATAATTATTCAATAATTTCTCCATGGTATGTCTTGTGAATAGTATTTTGCCAACAGTCCTCCCCATGCATTAAAGAAACAGGACACCTCATAGCAAGATCAGGGGAATTAAAGAAATAGGTGAACTCAACCCTGGCTATGGTAGGTAATTAGTGAAAAAAATGAGTATTGAAGAAAATCAAAGCTGTTGGACTCCTGTTAAGCCTACATAATTAGTAAGGGAACAAGGAAGAATAAGATAAACATTAATGTCCTATCCCACTATTTTGTTATGGTGTCTTTTTTTTTTTCTTCTTTTTTCTTAATTTATTTCGAGAGGAGAGAAATGGGTTGTTTCAATGTTCCATGAGTTTTACGTAAATGGAGTAATCATATTATCCAAACAGGCTTGAAAATAGTATTGCCAAAAAAAAAAAGCCTGGAAAACAAAAGAAAATAGGCTTCTTGTTGGCTAGTCAGTTCACATCACAGTCATTTTCTATTTGATGCAAATCAATGTTCAATATAATTTTTGTATAATATTTTTAGGTAAAAGACAATTACTGGTATATGTGTATAATATAATCTACAAAAATTGAGAAGTTGGGGTAATGAGAAGAGGGAATTGGACTCATGTAATTCATACTTCACTTGCACACCATAAAACCTGCATTAACTTTGCCCTTAAACAAGAACAGCTGCACTTTGAAAGGAGCCAAAGCCATTAAGAACAAAATTTTCTAAAAGAAGCCTTGGAGCTATAATTAGTTCTTACCCAATTTTCAAGTATGGTATTGATTCATTTCCTTCAATTTCAGGTCGGATTGTTAATTTGAAGTAACTGGCAGGCATTGCTGACAGGTGAGGTGAAACTTAAAGAGAGGCAGGTCATGACAGGAATACGGGACCAAAAAGCAGTGGTTCATATTTCAGGGGAAAGTTTATTGTAATTTTTTTTTAGCTAAGCTAACTTGAAAATATTACTATTCGGATTAATGTAGAGTTAAAAAGTTGAAATCAATCAATGTTTGGGTTGTTAGAATCATTAACTTCACACCCTCTACTTTCTTTCTTTGTAATTTAACTTTCACGTTATTGAGATTTCAGCTCAGAATTTTCAGACATTAATAATAGAAAAAGCACTGCTAAAACAACAGCCGATTGCCCAAAAAAAAAAAAGTTCGAAGATTGATTCTGAAATGAACTCAGCTGGCTGTCTATTGTCTTTCATTACTTTGTTATCCTGAAAATTTTAATACATCAAAACATAGACTTCTTCAATGTTCATGAAAGAACAATGCTTTCAAAGGAGGTCTAAAAATAGTCAAAAAAACAAACTGGATGAGAAATTTAAGGCATTTTAGTTTCATTTTGACCAAAGACGGGCTTTGGGTCATTAAAAAATGTATCGAGGCGGGTCGTTAGATGGTGACTTGGAGTCATCCGAGAGTGACACGTCGAGACAAAACGTATAGAAAAGGTCAGAAGAAATGTTTTGGTTGAACAAGCCGAAAGCCCAAGTGGGTCGTCGCCGAAGAGCTTTAAGGGCCTTTTTCTATATATATATATAAAAAAAAAAAGCAAGAAAAAAACACGTGGCACTCCTTAGAACAATTGAAAAAATATAGTTTTGGTCGTTAGCTGGCCAACTCCCCAACAACGCCCACAAACGCTCTTACTTCCCAGATCCTAGCCATCACGGCACTCTACTTAAGTATTGGTTTGCTATTCGTTTACCTAGAATGATGTAAAAGATATGTAGATTATCAAGGAAGAACAAATTATTCAAACTCCGATATCATGAATGTCTAATTTTCACCTAAAAGCAATGCAACTTGAAATATAATATGCTTTGGATTATCATTCATCAACCAAACTTAAATTTGCATTAGTTTGGACTTGGAATTTGACTTGTACTAATGAGGTTTGACTCTTCATTATTAAAAAAAAGTATTGAATTAATTTTATATTGATAATAGTGCTGTGAGAGGTCTTTCTACCACGGAATGTCGTTTTAACATTTAAATGATATGTAAATAATCGTTTGTGCTTAATTGTACCTTTCAAGTCTTGAACATTGTTGTAACTTATCGCTGGAATAGCCTTGAAAGTTGAAATATAGTTGTCTTTGGCAATGGTGAGAGAAGAGAACCCAACAAGTTTGTTCTAGTATCGAATGTTATGCACTAGCCAGAAGGCCCAGGATCAGGCTACTGGGTAATGGGCCAAGGAAAGGCTTACCCCTGCTGCCCTTTGGGCCATTCATTGTATTTATCCAATTGGTTTGGATTTTATTAATAAATGGTAATGGCCATTTAGAAATAAAAACGCTCTCTTAACAGTTGTAAGGTCAGTTTAATTTCGGATGAACGCCATTAAATACTAAAAAACCCACTCTCCATGCTAAATGCCAGGGTTCTTGATTTTTTTTTTTTTTTTGAGATTCTACGCTCTTCAAAGAAAAATTGCTTGATTCTAAGAAAATTTAAGTGAAAATGGAAGATTGAGAAACTTACAATAATAATATTTTAAAATTAAGAATCTGCTTTACGTAATAAAACAAACAAACACCGCTTTAAGATCAACAAGAAGGAAATATTTTTCCATGTTCATGTTCGTTTGTGGTAAGGGCTGTAACCTCACATAAGTGGAATCTTCACCAACGTAAGTTGACAGCCATTCCGATGGTCCGGTGGTTTCAAAGTTTGAGACCCCATGCGCTTTACGTGGCAAGGGTCGAGCATTGGTACTCGCACTTTCTTTCACCCTTTCCTTCTAATATTCCAAAATACCTTCATTTTTACCATACTTCCTACCCTTTACTCTCTTTCCCTTTTTTTTCCTTTATTTTTTATTTTTAAAAATAAAAAGTTCAATGCTAAAAAGGTAAAAAAAAAATTTTAACTGGATTTAATAAAATGGATATTTCATGTTAGAATGCATTCATTTCATTCAAATCGTATAAATACTTGCATTATTGAAAACAATCAACTATTTGCTATCAAAATAATTAATTAATTTATTAAAATAAATATTTATCATTTAATTATATTTGATTATATAACATAATTTAAATAAATAAAACACATGTTGATGTGAAATAAAAGCTTTGTAGAATAATTTCTTCAGGAAAATTGCTAGTCATCACTAAGCTTGTGAATATGATTTTTCTTTCTATATTGACCTATGCAAACAATGCAGCATGATAAGTCAATGTACCCTGCAAATATCACCCTGATTTTATGCAAACATTACGGGCCAACTCAGATCCATCCAGTCCCTCTCCTCAAGAGTCTTGCTTTCTCACCAGCCTGGCAACAGGTCGATGCCCTTTGTACCCAAAGACGAGGAATTAGATAAGAGAGTTGATCCTGATACATCCACTTTGTGTTTAAGTCCGTCTCATCAGCTAATTTCTTTAGCTTCCAATGAAAGCAAAGCAGGTTAACTATCAGAATTTAATTTCATTTAATAGCATCATAAAAGCAAAGGAAAATACTGTACTAGCAGTGTTCCTTTTTTCAGCGCCACCAACTTGCATTGATTATTTAATATCTTGCTCTAGTTGAATTATTGCCTCCCTACTTAAAAAAATGCGGGCTTCTCAACATGTATATAGTATTTGTTTTTTTAGCGACAACTTAGTTAATATTGCATTAAAAACGATGAAAATTTCTGGGAATGAAAAAGCATGATGAAAAAATTAGAGATGCAGCTAGCAATGGTGGGAGGAACAGAGGAACTGAGAAAGTATGTGTGGGTGGGTGTAATTATTTGTTTACTATAGTACTACCATTATATCTCTTTCAAATGGCCCATTTAGTTTTTCTTTTGTCAATTTTAACCATTCAATCCCCAGCACCATGAGTAGTTCCACAATTATATGCTCTTATTTCTGGAGGTCAATAAATTAATCCTTGTTGAAATTGGATGCCATGTCCATAAAGACACTGTACCTAAAAATTTCAGGAACAGCTTTTCTGCTAGGGCACCATGGTCCCAAATAATTACTTGGGTTAGCCTAGACTTTAAGTGCTTCTTATCAATATCTTATTATGGGTCAGAACCTAACCCTTATAAAATTATACTACCCTAAACATTCCACAGTGACAAACATTAGTCTTTGGGTTGCAATAAGTTTATAAGGAAGTCAAAAAAGACAGAGGACCCTAATGCTTGAGAACAATAATAAAGGAAAAAAAAGAACAATCTATCCGTCATTCACGGAGAAGACAATCCAATTGTAATGGATGATTTTTCATTTTTCTTCCTTTTTTTTTTTTCTCTTTTGAATTAGAGTTTTAAATGAAATATTTCTTTTATTCTTTTTCCAACTTTTACTTTTATGATGATGAAATTTTAGGTGACCCTACATATTTTTCCCTTGCTTGTTGTTTACCAACTAGCATAATTAACTCTTGACCGTCAATTCGGTGGATTACCTTTCTTAATTAATACCATAAATTGTGCAAGCCTGGATAAGTGATGATATTGATAATAAATTGACAACTCTAAACCGAAATGGGGATTGGGAAGAGAAGCATGCATTTAAAAGGACAAAAAAATTGAATTAATTCGATTTGTTCATATAATCATTTTTAAAAATGTAATTGGTAAATCTCAAATCCAAATTTCAATACTATATCTCCTTTATATTTAAAAAAAAAGATAAAAAAATGTAAATTTAGTAATTCTACTACATACAAATAATTCAATATGGATGAGAAATTAAAAAAAAAAAATACTCCTACTTATTTTATAATCAAAAGTGATTAAAGCCTTTTGGCATCATGCTTCCTGAAATTCTCTTTTTTCATTAATTCATTGTTTAATTTAGGACCACTTTGCCCAAGGATGATGAAGGAAATTGAAGGAGTTTGAGAAGGAAAGTGATGATGTTTGCTTTCTCTCCATCCCTCAACCCAACATTTATTTCTTTCGGTGGAAATAGGAAAGCATGGATAAGAGAAAAGAAATTAACAGTTCCAAGTGGCTTCCTTCCTATTAAAGGCACATGCATCTACCCTAGTGAGTGGAGAACCGAAGAAAGCACTACCAAGACTCTCGTAAAACACTGCTACTGGCAAATGGTGATTAATTTTACAAGTGCTCAACTGTTGACCAAAGGCATGTTATCACCCTAAAGATAGCGATGGAGGCCGTGGGGCCATATCATCACATGGAAGGGGCTACACAGGTAGACATTTCCTTCATTAATGGGAGTTGAAAACTGGTTTATATCCATATCACGATCGACTAGGGGATTTCCCACTCATCATCCATTGAAGCTAGCTGTGCACAAAACGGAAGACAACCATGTACCAATCCTTGGATCAACGTTTTCACGAACACTGACGCTAGCTAGTTTGAATTTAACTTTTTAATTTATTAGGCTCTTTTATGTTTGGTGAAGTGGGGTTCATCAACTAGAAGACAAGTGCAAAAGATTCATTAATAATGTCAGATTGTTATTGTATCATGAAATATTAAAATTTTAGGTCAGAATTTTAATGAGGCTGTCTATGTTATCCTTGCATCAAGAAACATCAGTTTCAATACAAAAGCCTATATACTTACATTTTTATTCAATAAATTGTTTGATAAGTAAAAAAGAAAACAAAAAGACATAACTCTCATACCTTTAGCATTTCAAAGCAAGGGGATACTATGTCTATGCAAACCAGAAAATACAAAGATAAAGAAACCGCAAAGACCCAATAAAAATTATTTTTATCTTCTTTACTCTTTTTGATAATTAATTACCATACTTAACATCTAATAATTAAAAACAGTGCTTGTTTTACTTGATGTTCTTCAAATAAACTGTAGGGTACCAAAGCTCATGGTTCGAACTCTTCCTCGTTCTCTTCGAACTCCTCTTGATTCTGGTTGTACCTTCCCATGTTATTGTAACGATTCTCGTTGAACTCGTTCCTTGAAGCACCTCCCCTGGAGTTCTCAAACTGGTTTGGATAATTGTTGTTCTCACTCTTAATATCATGGTAGTACTTTCCATTCTCCAGGTATCTAGTGTCGCTCATGCCTTGTTTTTCACCATTGTTGTACCCATTGTTGCCGTAGTAGTAGTTGTTGTTCTGGTTTTCCTTGGTGCTCCATCCTTTCTCTGTGAACCTGGCCTCACCCAAGTTTTGCTGCTCTGTACTCTCGTAGGCATTCTTGTTGTAATAGTAGGTATTTTTGTTATTGTTGTACCCATTATTACCGTAGTAGTAGTTGTTGTTCTGGTTTTCCTTAGTGCTCCATCCTTTCTCTGTGAACCTGGCCCCACCCAAGTTTTGCTGCTCAGTGCTCTCGTAGGCATTCTTGTTGTAATAGTAAGTGTTTTTGTTATTGTTGTTGTTGGATGCAGGAATGCTGTTGTAGGGTTCATCTGGGTGGTATCTGACCGGGGTAACATAGGGTTCATAGGTTTCTTTAGTGGTGGTGCTGGGAGGGAGCTGGCCTGACTCGTGCCCATAAAGGCCATAACCATTTTGGGTTTCGGGGATAAACCTTGGTTCTTGCTCTTGCTTCCCAAAAGTAGTCTGCTCCTCTCTGTTGGGAAGTGAAGTCTTATGGGTTGTCGCAGGTATGAAGGATTCATGCTGTTGCTCTCTTGTGTCAGGGATGGTTGTTGTCTCTTTCTCATTGTTGTTGACACTTGGGATTTTGCTGAAGAATTCCCTGGCATGAATTTGCATGGAGAAGAGAGCAAAGAGGAAGAGGATAGAGATGAGTTTTGGTGAGGAAGCCATGGCAAGGGAAAAGGCAAATGTAGCAAATGCTTTGTGTCTGAGAGTAGTAGTACTACACACTGATGAGAAATTGTGATGATACAAAATCTTTATATAGAAAGACCAATCTTTTGTTTTCACTCTATTGTAAAATTTTCTACTCAATTAAGTGCAAATGGGACGGGGAGGATGGTAATGATTGTGGTCCCTTGCACAAGGGAGAACTTTATCAAAAGAGGCCTTCCTTTGTGTTAGTTGTTAATGATATTTATTTCCTTTGTTACTATAATTTGGTGCACTTTTTATGATCCCATTTCCCCACTGTGGTAAACAGGTTAAACATGGGTTAAGCTATTTCTCTCAAGATTCCCTGCCCACATAATCTTCACAATCCTATTAAATTTACTATTAGTACTATATATTCTTATAATTTGTATAAAACTCTTGAGTATTTCGTATCTTCTAAGCAAAACCATGCATAATTGACCTTAATGCAATATATATATAAGGCATAGTCGCCAATAAGGGCGGTATAAAATATATAGTACTACTAATTTTACTTTCAACTTTATATTTCTTCTTTCATTTTTCATCTCTTCTATATCAAAGATGAAAACAAAAGGAAAAGTAATTTCTTTCATAGTTTTCTTTTGTTCTTTTTCTTACCTTGTATTTTCGAAGTCGTTTAGTTAACTATAAGAAAAGAGTATGTTTCTGGAAATGGTATTAATGGAAACTACAGGCATTGTGAAAAGTAGTACGGGGAAAGAGGATCAAATAGAGATGAAAGGGGGCGGCCGCTGATGATGCGAGGATTGAGGAGGAATGGGGTGGGACATAAAATAATGACATTTAGTTGCTCACTGCATGTGCTGCCCCTCTATTATTTGTCTAACATTAGGGACAGGCCTAAAGCCTTTTTCTACACGGTGGATTGAACAACCTGTTTCCCTTATCTAAAAGTGCCATAAGCGTTTCAACCCTCATTTGCAAAGGACCCATACCCCTCGCTAACTTCTCTTTTTTTTTTTTGTGTGGAATTTTATTAAGTATCTTTACTAGTATACTTCTATGATTTTCTACATTTGCAAAATCTTCTTGAGATGAATATTTATTCATATAAAAAGTTGAATCAATTTTGGTGCATTCATGAAAAGAAAGGAAAATAAATTTGAAATTTAGTTTGATTAATTTATGCAATCATTTTTAAAATATAGCATTTAATAGATATTTATCTTAAATTTCATCACTTGTAATTTTTTTTAAAATTATAATCTTTTTTATATTAAAAAAAATTTTGTATGTAACATTTGACACATTAATTAGACACTTATAAAAAAAATTACATGATTAATTGATATAATGTGAATCATATTGAGATTCGTTCTAGTAATACAAAAATCAATTAATGATTTCTTCGATTTAAAATATAAAAATGATATGATTTTATCTCATTTTGCTTCATACACAAATTACTTAACTTTCACAATCAATAGAGAGACATATCCTTAAATACCAATTTAAATGACTTTCATAACCAATAGAGAGACATATCCTTAAATACCAATTTAAATACATCTAAACTGGTAGTTCTTCTTCATCTATTTTTTTTTCATAAATATATATCAATTTAAAGCTTCATAGTTATTGTTAGAGTGCAAAACTTGCAACATATATCATCATGAATGAGGGCTGGAAGATATTGATGTGTCCATCCATATTTCTTTATTGTAATTGAATGTTGGCCACCAAATGTTTTTAATGAACTTTAGGAATATGATTGGCTAAAATATCAAAAGAAAAATTTTAAAAATAATGGTTTAAAAAAAAAAAAAAGGAAGAAGGTAAAAGTAAAAGAAACTTCTCTTCATGATGATCATCTTGACTAGCCTTTGTGGTTCATGCAGTGAAGATTCAAGCACCAATGGCTGATCACTCTGCCAATACGAAAATAAACATATATAATAAAAAAAAAGAAGCCAAAGCTGATTGCCACAGGATTGTTTTCAAAAGGAACCTGATTTTTGGTTAAAATTCTTACAAAAATGTAATTTTAGGAGTTCTTTTCATGATAAAACACGAAAGTACGACTTCAAGTCTAGTCTAGGCCAACTCTTGATGAAGACATGAAAGTTCATAGTTTGAACTACACGATGAGAGGATTGGACACGACATATGAATGCATACTTCACATTATCATTTTTGAGTTTTGGGAACAATTGATGGACTATTCATTGCAAATAAGAAAGGTTTGAATTTAAAAAAATGGTATAGAATTAGTGTTTGACCAATCAAATGAAATATTTTTTTTCTTTTGTTTTGGATTTTACTTTTGCTTTGGCTTTTACTTTTGCTTTCTTTTTTTTTCCTTGGATTAAGTGAAGTTTAGTTGCGTGATTACCGGAGGAGGAGCTTTCAACCGTACAAAACATGTATCCATCTGGCAATCAACTCCTACCCAAGTTTGAAAAAGTTTGCCAAACTCAAAACAGATTAAAAAGAGAGAGGAACAGGAAAGAAAAAGACAGTATCCAAAGTGATTGTAGTGAAGCAGAAGCTGTGTAGAAACAAGGTGTTGATTAAGATTAGACAAGAATCTTAACCAAACCACTTGTTTTTGAATGCTAAATCTGAACATCTTGAGTGAAGTTGATGCAATGGCCCCTCCAAAATTGTGGTAAAGTCAAGGGTAGCTGCTTGCAGAATTCAACTAATCTGAATTACGAAGTAGATTTTCAGTTAGTGCAGTTGGCGTTTGGTGGGTTTTATATCAAGAAAATTCATGGGGTAAGTTGTACATCAAATAAATTCAAAGTCCTTTGTTGGATTCAGTAAAATTGAGACCTCCAACACCATTTAAAATTTCAATTTTGCAATTGCAGCATTGAAAAACAACAAAGGAATGACATACTTATACGTCAACCAAAATTACCATTGGTGATTTGGCTGGGATAAAGTAGTAGTTGCAGTAACATAAACAGGTGGGTCATGGACTTAATAGGCATGATCTCACATTGGCCCTCATTGGTAAATTCTAGATTAAGCAAAGTGAATTAGAACCCTTTGTTGGTTTTGAATTTTTTATTATCATTTGGGCATTTGGGGTCTCAATCTAAACCCTTTTTCACCTGTTTTCTACTTCTTCTTTTTTTTTGCTTTGATCAAGCTAACTCAGATTTGATATGGCAAATAATAGTCTCACTGAGAAACATATCAGAAATCACCAAGCGACCAAATAAACAAGAAAATCCGAGGTTAAAAAGAGAATTGATAAATACATAGGAATTTAGTACTTATTAAAGAATTTCGAGATAACAAAATATCTCATGAATCTTTAACAGGAAATGGATTGACCAACAGAAGAAAGAACGACAAAAGATCGGGAACCAAAACCGGAATCAAAGGATGGACATTGCTCACTAGGCGTTTCCTTCTTAGCCTCTTCCTAGCATACTCCCTCTTTTGCCCATCACCCCACTGTGCCTCCTCCACTCCCTTGGCCAGGATCAATGGTGGGGGCTGATAGTAAGGGCACTTGGACCTCCAGGAAGTCTCAGGGAGACCCAATCTTGAGACCCTTTTGAGGAAAATTGAGAATCCCCATTTCAGGTGAAGAGAAGGGAAAGTGTCCGTGTTGGGTTTATTGCAGAGAACTGGAGGGTAGTCCCAGTTAAGGTAACATGGGATTTGTGTGGAGATAAAGAATTGAGAGTGGAGAGGTGGTGAGGTTGTGGGGCTTGTAAGGATGTGAGTTAAAGCTTGGAGCTTTTGCTCCCATGTTGTGTCTTCCATTGTTTTTCAGTCTGGATAATGGATTAGATTGGGAAGGTGACAAAAATCGAAGGATTTAGTACAACCAACAAGTAACTGGAAAGCTTGAAAATCCTCCTTCAAGAAATTTTCTTATCGCCAATCAGTCTCTGCCATTTGCCTTCCTTTGTGTGATTCATGTTGAATAAAGCTAGGTTTGGATAGATATTAACAAAAAAAAAAAAACAAAGAGAGAAGAAAAAATTTTTAAAGGAAAGGTTGAACGAATTTACGTTTTCTTCAACTTCTACAGCAGACAAAACCGGCGAATCCCACCTTATGCTTTCCTTATTTGTTTTTGTTTAATAGTTAATCATCATTCATGAATGTTTCGGCGCTCTTTGGTTTCTTAAATTGAAGTTGCTTGATCCAAAATGGTTAGACGTCAGATTTTCATGCAAATGGATAGAGCGAGTGTCCAAAGTAATAATTATGAGAATAACTTGGTAGGGGACTTATAATCTATAGCCACAACCAAAGATATATGCTGACCGGGAATGCATGCGCACATGATTTGATCTTCGTCCGACACCTAATATTTGTGCATAATTATGTTGGAACCATGACTTTGCAGTAGCACTAATTGTGATGAAAATGCGTAAAACCAAAACCAATTACCAGCTAGCAAAGCTGATGCCAACTATTAGTCTATTACAGGCGTGCTACACTCCCAATGTGCAAAGGCAAAAAGGCATGCATCGGTCCATATTATCTCCGAACACAAAATCTAATCAAACAGTAAGCTACAAATTTATGTCGATCGCCTAAGCCTTGCAAATCAAAATTTGGAAATTGATCTGGACACTGGAGCATTGATAGTAGTATATTGATCTGACACTGGAACATTTCTATGTGAATCCGCATCGTTGGCAATCACTGACATGATGATTAACACCAATTGATCTGGTTACCGTGGAGTGCGCATGTGCCAACTTCTCTTTCAATTTTTAATTGCAAAACCAAAATTTAAAAGAGAAGAGAACACAAACTGCAGAAGCTAGGACAATATTTCACTTTAAGCTGCTACTTTCGAAAGGAAGATTTCTTGACCTAGCAGAACTGTGATAACAGCACCATAGAAGCACTCGGTATCGGGAAAGTAATCAAAGCAGAAGCCTGAAAGACCACAAAATTAATTACACCAGCAATTCAAGTAAAACTTCAGGTTCAGAAGAAGGCAGCAGGTTAACGAGAACATACCGTAATGAATACCAGTTCATCATTGATAAAAGCAGCAGTAAATTCATTTTGTTCGCATTTCTTGTTTGATGAAACCTTGTAACAGCAAACAAACAGACAAGAAACAAAATATTTATTGCAAAGGCAAAGGTTCCTAGTAAAGGGTATACTTCTTTGGACCTAGGCAATATTGGCTGGACAAATACATTTTAACTTCTAAACTGGAATCTATTTATATGTATTTTCTGATAAACCACAGAAATCATTGTAACAAACACGAAGCAGACAGACTGATAAAATACAAATTCCTTGTAAATTTAACTCAACTTGTTCAGCAAGCCATGTTCCATGATATGGAGAAAAACAGAATTGTTATCACTGAAGGACTAAATAATATTTTGAAGTTCAGCAAGCCACGTTCACATACATCCCACAGAGATGGTTGTCCATGGAGGATGCCAAGTTGAAAGTGCAAGACAATTCTTTATCCTTTTCTCACAAACAAGCTCAGTTCCTTGGTAATTAATGTTAGCATGTGGTTTTTCTTGTTCAAGGCAACATGGGCTCAGTTCCTTGATAATTAATCAAGAGCCAATGAAGGTTCATAACAATTCTAAATCATTGAGGTACTACACTCTATGATTCCAAAAAGACTTTTCTAGACTGACAGAACTATGAATACCCACAATCTTATTTGCAGAACTGAGCAACTCACCAGTTGTCATTTTTGGAGTGAAGAGACCAGAAGTTTCCATAGATCAGCATACACGATTCAATGACAACTGATTTAGTAGAATAAAGAGATCATGGAATCTTGCAGCCATCATATCTCAAAATCTTCTGGCTCAAACAGCTTAGGAGGGTGGAAGAGGTCTTGACAGAGAGGCAAGGGGAATAGTGATTTTTATATGATTCCAGGGAGCATTTTTATTGTTGGAAAGTTTTACAAAGTTAACTTTCATGTAAGTTATGACATGAAGATTTCATGAGTAACATCATTATTCTTCAGAAACATCACTTCTTGAAAATCCCATATTTGCAAAACATACCTTATGGTGATACTTTATTATCACCGAGTAAAATCTTCTCGCTTGAGAAATGTAGTATTTTATGGTTGATCCATCGCCCACAGAGTAAGAATCCAATGCCCCAAACATCTTTGGAAGATGCCTTCCAAAAAGGCCGCTTATGAACTATATTCACATAAAAGATTAGATTTTATTAAGACTGACATGAAAGATGAGCATATGGCAAAATATTTTTTCTTTTAATTAAAAGGATCTATTAAAGCTATAGTTCAGGATGATGCTTTAATATACAAAGATCAAAACTTTACAAAGATTTCAAATGGACCAAGAAAGAGAAAAACAAGGTCTGAAAGACTATGTCAACTTATTAATAGTACCTTCAAGAATGTGCATCTCATATCCCTTTGCCTCTGAGCTTGCAACGCCTTCATCTGTAAGACAAAAATCAATGATGCAAATAAAGGATTTGTCACAAAGGCAAAACCTTAATTTTCTTTTAAATTTCCTTATGAATTTAACATATAGCCAATATCACTAGGGTCTCAGGAAGACGATACTTAAGCAATTTGAAGTGCCTGCTCAAAATTTTGAATTTGAATCCATAGTTTTGTAACAATTTCTGCCATCTAAAAGCAAGGGAATAGACATTTTTCAACAACAGGTATATAAGAGATAACAAAACCAAAGCGAATAGACATTTTTCCTAGTCTTCTGCACATCACTCTCACAAGGAAAGCCCAAATTAACCAAGAATGAGTTCTGACAAAGCATGTTCATTTCCATTAGCAAATTAAAAAGAATATCCAGGGGGAAATATTTCTTTTTTACTTTATTTAAAGAAAACAGCTTAGCAGTGACATGAAGCAGAAGCCTGATAAATGATATTAGGGAACCGAAACTGCAAAAATTGGAACAGCAACAAGATAGAGTTCAAGCGTGTTTTGCTGTCATTGATGAAAATTCTTAAAGTTTATTAAAGAATATAATAAGTAGAAATTCTTAGTCATTCAGCATTACATGGTCACTATGTTTGACAAACTCTGAAGAACAAACAAGAAGAAGCCTTCAACATTCACAAGCAGAGTCTCTTCACAAATAAAATTAATAAATGTAAATCCTAACCTTTTCAACTTGTGAAGTAACAACTTCCAGTCTATCCTCAGCGTCCTGTGCTTTTGATTCTAAAACATGAAGTTCTAAATTGTTCTTTCTTGAAACAGGCCAAAGCAGACGTACCTAGGAACATGAAGCTACTGCTCAAGTCAGTCGGATATTGCAACAAAGCAAACATTTCTTGCCACTCACCAATAATAACTGGGAAGGAATCCAACAGGAGAAAAAAATGGAAATAAGGATTATATTTATATGAGCAGTTAAAACGAACCTCCTCTTTTAGAGCCTTAAGCCTTTCATCAGAAAGTAATCAGCCATCCTGCAATTAACATAATGCAAAAAGATGACTCCTAGGTGAATAAACCCTAATTAAATACACTTTACTCTAGAGACATCAATTGGAAGAAAGCATTCAATCGAAATAAACCTGAACATATTTCAGTAAATGCAACAAAGTGAAAAACATCAGCAAAGCTTCTTAGGAAAGAATCGAACCTTAAGACTGGATAGAGGAGACTGCAGATAAGTAAGTAACCTTGTTGGCCATGTCCTCCAGGAATTTCTCGCGTTCCTGGAGAAAAAGGGTTTTAGCATTTATGTTTTGAATCGTCTCCTCAAGAACCGCTTCTGCATCCATATTTACAGCCAGCAAGGAATCAAGACTCTATGTACTATTTATTAGTAGCAAAGAAAGCGAAAGAACATTTTAACTAAACGCGAGATCTTGAGCTTGCCATCATGCAATTCAGGGATCAAGAGATTGTGGTTGTTATTTGATTTTGGGATGTGAGAGAGAAGAAGAAACAAATGAAAATGGCGGGAAGAAGAATCAGATAAGCCGCCATTGCTGCTCGTTGTTAACAATCTCTTTCTTTCCTCTTTCTGCAAAGAAGAAATAGTGGGTCGTCGGTAGTCGAAGCTTATAGATCCCGCGGTTACCAAATATAATGAATACACAAATATAATTTTCTTTTTTATTATTTTTTTAAGTTTATAAATCCACTTTGTATCTTCCTTATTATTTACTTTGACTTTGTTTTGATTTTGTTGACAAAAGTATTGTGTATAAATTTTTTAAAATTTATAATTTTTAAGCGAACTTCAATAACATGTGATAAAAGGATCAATCCGTGCTTTTATTTGTTCTTCAATTCGAAGAGATTTTATTGAAAAAAAATGGGGAAGAGAAAAAAAAAACATGCAATTTTGACTTTATGAAGAAAACAATTCCTTTTCGAGCAAAAAAAATTATAATTTGCTAATTGAATAGTACTATGTAATTTCTATTTGCTAAAATTGTTTGGGACGGTGAATGAATAAATAATCTTCTTCTGAAAATTATCAAAATTAATATGATATAATCCGTTAAGAATTAGAATCAACATGTGATATACAAATTAATATAATATAACATATAAATTTAATAATATCATATTTATCCATTATTATTAAAGTGTTATCCGTGAATTTGTATTCTTTTAACAAATTTAAGTTATTTTTTTATATTACATTGAAATTATATTTACTTTTGATATTTTGTTGATAATTTATAAAATAAAATTAAAAAATTTTTTTAATACATTGTATGTAAGCAAAGTTTTTAATTCTACAAGCATGATTAATAGGATGATAGATGTTCTATTTTTTAATTTAGTTTTTTTATTTTTAATATATTTTTAAGAATA